TACATAAGGAACAATTACTGAATAATTCATAGTAGATACAGAATAATTCATAATGCGTACTTAATTTATAGTAGATACTGTATCATTCAGAGTAGATACTGAATAATTAATAGTAAATGCTGAGTAATTCATAGTAGATACTGTATAATTCATAGTTGATACTGAATAATTTATAGTAGATATTGAATAATTCACAGTGGATACTGAATAATTTATAGTAGATATTGAATAATTCATGGTGGATACTGAATAATTTATAGTAGATATTGAATAATTCATGGTGGATACTGAATAATATATAGTAGGCGCTGAATAGTTCATAGTAGGTGCTGAATAATTCTTAGTGGTCACTGAATAACTTATTGCCGATATTGAATAATTTGTAGTAGACACTGGAGTTAAATGCAAAAATCTGAATTCAAATATTCTTATTTTGAATCATGAGTAACTCTGAAATGTGAGCTAATAGGAAAACTAATTCATTTTAGAAATTGAATCGTACATCATTAACAGTAATTTCAGTTTCAAGTGTTGTATTACTCTCTTACAGTCCCTCAAATTCAGTTTCAGTTCAGAACTACAAAATTATTCATTCATTCAAATTTAGATTTTTGCATTTGACATCAAATTTCCAAGGAGATGAATCCAGCTCCAGGTTATTGGATAATTCACAGTACTTAGTTTGTATCAGTCACTGAATAATAAGTCTTAATAACTGAAGAATTTCTTGAGGTTATGAAAGTTTAATTGTTTGTTCTTTTTCAGGTCAATAACGTTGACCAGGATGGTCAGAGTACACATGAGCAATCAGTGATGTTTTCAGAGAAAGGAGCTCTGCCCCTCAACAAGTCTCAGTCCCAGAGTGTCAGCTCCATACCCCCAAAGAGTCTGGGGGGCTTCAGCAGTGACCCCTACACACCCCCAGCGTGAGTTCACACCCCCAGCTCGTTCAAATAAGTGGAGAAACTGTGTGGAATGTTCAGATTCTAAACTTTCAGTCCAGACCACATGAGTGTTTGTAGATAAAAGAGGACAAAAAACATCATCAAAACATCAAAACATCCTTTACATTTTTGCCATGTTTGTCATTTTTCGAGAATGAAAAATTAAAAAGTCACAGTTGCAGACGTGAGCGTGTCCATACAGGATGGAAAACGAATGTAAATGTACAAACCTCAGTTGCAAAAAAGTTGGGACAGTATATGAAAAGCAAATAAAACAGACAGTAGAGATTTTCTGAATGCACTTTGACCTGTATTTAAGTCCTTTATTAGCGATGATGGGTCGGACAAATTAACATTCTTTAATAAGCAAGTAAGGATTTTGGTTGTAAGGATTTTGGTTTCATCCTCTATGGTGCGTAATATCATGAAGAGATTCAGGGAATCCAGAAAAATAAAAACCAGCATGTTTCTGTGACGATATCGCTACATGGGCCCGGGAATACTTTAACAAGCCGTTGGCAGTAAAGACCATCCATCACTGCATCCAGAAATGTGAGTTAAGACTCTGCTCTGCACAGTGAAAACCACATATCAACTGCATTCAGAAACACCGCCAACTTCTCTGGGCCCAAGCTCATCTGAAATGGACTGATGCTCAGTGAAAACGTGTTGTGGTCTGACGAGTCCACCTTTCAGATTGTTATGGAAATAATGGACGTTGTGTTCTCGATGTGGCCAAAGAAGAAAAGTGCATAATCATATAATAAGTTCAAAATCTAGTGTCTGTAATGGGGGCAGGTGTTAGTGGGTAACGTGCACATCTGTGAAAGGACCATTTTGTTTATTTCTAGCAATTTTTTTTAAAACAAGCAAAATCATTGTCTGATTTGTAATTTTACAAATGTATGGTTCTTTTTTAAAGACCATGGTTCCATATAGAACCATGACCACTCAAAGAACAATTTACTTGATTAAATGGTTCTTTGCATGGAGAAATGGTTCTTCAGACTGATGAAGAATGTGCTGTGCACCAACAAAAAGGTTCTTCTATTGTATAGCTTGACTCTTTTTGGTGCTATACAGAACCATTTTCAAAAATGTTCTATATAGAACCATATACAACACATTCTTCATCATTCCAAAGAATCATTTCATCATGCAAAGAACAAAGCATGCAAATGGTCCTTTGAGTGTTCATGGTTCTATATAGAGTCACTGAAGAACCGTCTTTTTTTAAGAGCGTAGACATTTTTACATTTGTGAAATCATCTCAATATATTGGTGCATGTTTTAAGAAATATGCTAGTAATAAGCTAAATTATCTGCTAATATAGGGAGATCATTTTACTTGATAAAATTACTTGTAACAAATAAAATGTCTAGAATTAAATAATCTTGTAATAAGCTTAGAACAATCTCAACATGAGAAATATTAAATGTAATGACTACATTTAAAATAATTTCTCATGCCAAGATACTATTTTTTGCAGTGTAGTCAGTTCTGTGTTATGTAATGTAGTGTAAATGGAATATATAACAGTACGACAGTAATAACTGTGGACTGCTGAGGGTTAAATGTAATTTTAAATGGTATTTGTGCTCCTGCAGAGCTGCTCTGGGCTTCAGTCCACACAATCACACTCAGCCACTCAGAACAGTGTGATCAGCGTTTCTCCCTCACTGACCTTGGCTTTCACCAAGTGAACTTGTTTTGCTGCGTGGAAGCTGTTTGTTTAAGATATAACAAATCCAAACTGCGACTCTTTGATTCACTGTGCAGTCTCTGCATACAGATACAGCAGCAGTCAGTAGGATGGAAAGGGCCCAACATGGAGGAACAAATGTTCCTCAGTTCTTTGAAATAAAAGACTGTTTAGTTTTCAGACAGTAAAAATGTACCATTCACTCCCAAATCCATACAGTCCATACATGAAAACTAAGCTGCAGAAGCAACCTGATTAGCATTCATTGTTTTTGTGATTAGTTTGACCCCAAGCATTCAGCTACAGCAGTTTAGCTCCACCATTCAGCTACAGCAGTTTAGCTCCACCTTTCAGCTACAGCAGTTTAGCTCCACCATTCAGCTACAGCAGTTTAGCTCCACCATTCAGTCTACAGCAGTTTAGCTCCACCGTTCAGCTACAGCAGTTTAGCTCCACCATTCAGTCTACAGCAGTTTAGCTCCACCATTCAGTCTACAGCAGTTTAGCTCCACCGTTCAGCTACAGCAGTTTAGCTCCACCATTCAGCTACAGCAGTTTAGCTCCACCATTCAGCTACAGCAGTTTAGCTCCACCATTCAGCTACAGCAGTTTAGCTCCACCGTTCAGCTACAGCAGTTTAGCTCCACCGTTCAGCTACAGCAGTTTAGCTCCACCATTCAGCTACAGCAGTTTAGCTCCACCATTCAGTCTACAGCAGTTTAGCTCCACCATTCAGTCTACAGCAGTTTAGCCCCACCATTCAGTCTACAGCAGTTTAGCTCCACCATTCAGCTACAGCAGTTTATCTCCACCATTCAGCTACAGCAGTTTAGCTCCACCATTCAGTCTACAGCAGTTTAGCTCCACCATTCAGCTACAGCAGTTTATCTCCACCATTCAGCTACAGCAGTTTAGCTCCACCATTCAGCTACAGCAGTTTATCTCCACCATTCAGCTACAGCAGTTTAGCCCCACCATTCAGTCTACAGCAGTTTAGCTCCACCATTCAGCTACAGCAGTTTAGCTCCACCATTCAGCTACAGCAGTTTAGCCCCACCATTCAGCTACAGCAGTTTAGCCCCACCATTCAGCTACAGCAGTTTAGCCCCACCCATTCATGCTGAAGTTATAAGGAGTGTTTCACACCAGACTGCTTTTTCAAGACAGGGCAGCCAATCAGAACAGAGCTCATTTACTTATATTATGTGTTCACTGTAATTCTAAAGTGTGTAAAATGGTGTTCTTTCTCTCCACAGTTACTCTGACCGTTTGTTGGGCCGGTCATATGAGCCGGAGTATCCAGTAGGTGGCGCTAGCTCCAGCCCCTCAGACAGAACAGACGGCGTGAGGAAACCCTCAGCGAACCGCGGTAAAAGACGCAGGAGAAACCCTGAACTGGACGAGTCTCAGTACGAGACTGAGTACACCACAGGCGGAGAGACAGGAAATGAACTGGACCAGGACCACTGGATGAGGTGAGGCTCGGAAAAAAACCTACACAGGTTGCCAGCAATGAACGTACCCCGGCTCCGCCCACAAATGTGTTTTTTCTTAGCTACTGATGTGAGGTTAGATAAGCTTTACAGAATGTAGGTAAAAATCTCATTCAGCCTACTGAATTTATATCACAATACTGAATTTATATTACAATACTGAATTTATATCACAATACCTACATTTAGAGTCAGCTATTCATTCAGCCTAATGAGAAACTGTAGAACAGACTCAGTTTATATCACAATACCTACATTTAGAGTCGGTTATTCATTCAGCCTAATGAGAAACTGTAGAACAGACTCAGTTTATATCACAATACCTACATTTAGAGTCAGTTATTCATTCAGCCTAATGAGAAACTGTAGAACAGACTCGGTTTATATCACAATACCTACATTTAGAGTCAGTTATTCATTCAGTCTAATGAGAAACTGTAGAACAGACTCAGTTTATATCACAATACCTACATTTAGAGTCAGCTATTCATTCAGCCTAATGAGAAACTGTAGAACAGACTCAGTTTATATCACAATACCTACATTTAGAGTCAGTTATTCATTCAGCCTAATGAGAAACTGTAGAACAGACTCAGTTTATATCACAATACCTACATTTAGAGTCAGTTATTCATTCAGCCTAATGAGAAACTGTAGAACAGACTCAGTTTATATCACAATACCTACATTTAGAGTCGGTTATTCATTCAGCCTAATGAGAAACTGTAGAACAGACTCAGTTTATATCACAATACCTACATTTAGAGTCGGTTATTCATTCAGCCTAATGAGAAACTGTAGAACAGACTCAGTTTATATCACAATACCTACATTTAGAGTCAGTTATTCATTCAGCCTAATGAGAAACTGTAGAACAGACTCAGTTTATATCACAATACCTACATTTAGAGTCGGTTATTCATTCAGCCTAATGAGAAACTGTAGAACAGACTCAGTTTATATCACAATACCTACATTTAGAGTCAGTTATTCATTCAGCCTAATGAGAAACTGTAGAACAGACTCAGTTTATATCACAATACCTACATTTAGAGTCAGTTATTCATTCAGCCTAATGAGAAACTGTAGAACAGACTCAGTTTATATCACAATACCTACATTTAGAGTCAGTTATTCATTCAGCCTAATGAGAAACTGTAGAACAGACTCAGTTTATATCACAATACCTACATTTAGAGTCGGTTATTCATTCAGCCTAATGAGAAACTGTAGAACAGACTCAGTTTATATCACAATACCTACATTTAGAGTCAGTTATTCATTCAGCCTAATGAGAAACTGTAGAACAGACTCAGTTTATATCACAATACCTACATTTAGAGTCGGTTATTCATTCAGCCTAATGAGAAACTGTAGAACAGACTCAGTTTATATCACAATACCTACATTTAGAGTCAGTTATTCATTCAGCCTAATGAGAAACTGTAGAACAGACTCAGTTTATATCACAATACCTACATTTAGAGTCAGTTATTCATTCAGCCTAATGAGAAACTGTAGAACAGACTGAGTATCTCCATCTGAACATTCACAAACAGCCTCAGTAAACAGATACAGACCTGCTCACAGTTCACACACATTCAGTCTGAAACCAGCCTACCTGGGACTTTCAACTAACTCTAATGTAATCTCCTCAGGAATGCACTGGCACATAGTTTCATAATGGACCGTATTTAGGTCATTCGGCCATAGGAGTGCGTACGTGAGTGCGCTGTGTGTCTGTGTGCTCTCTGATATACTGTTACTCTTTCATCCTGTGTTTCTGAGGACATTTTGTTGATCCCTGTGAGAAACACTGTGAGAGCCCAGAGAGATAAATGAACACATTGGGGTGCACAGTTATTGTTGCTTTGCTGTACTATTTAAGTATAATTTCATAATTACATAATTAGTTATGGTAATACTATATGTATTACCATTAACACATATAGAATCTGCACTTTCCACATGATTTCCCCTCATGTCAGTGAACTACCAGTCAGAAACGTGATTCTATAGGTTAATTAAGAAGTAGAAAAGATCCATAAAGATGGTAATACAAGTATGTGTGTGTTATGTCCCTCGTGGTCAGTTCGGAGTTGGGAGCAGCTGGTTTCCTGCTCTGTAGTTGTTCTCGTGTGGAGGAAATTTCTCAAAATAAACAAGAAGCAAATGTCCTGAACAGGAAGAAGGGGCACTTGCTGTCCAGCAGGATTAATCTCTGAAAATGACCCCTCACGTTTCAGCACAAAATCTAAGAAATGCTCAAAATTGCGTTTATATAAGAAATAGTTTGGCAAAAAATCTAATTTACACAATTTTACCCTTTTTTTTTAAATCAACCGAGACGAGTTTGGCTTCTAAAGTTTGCTTCTTTGGCTTTAGTGCTGGAGCTATGAAGCTAACAGCTAACAATATGGAAGCTTATCTTATATATATATATATATATATATATATATATATATATATATACAGACACTCCAAAAGACTCTAAATATATACACATATACACAAGATACACTCACTAGTATTGCACTACAACAACAAAGATCCTTCACTTAGTAGACACAGTGTGAGGGGGAACACACGAAAATTTTGCTTTTACTTTAGTCTTAATATGTTTTGCGCTAGATATAAGTCACGCATACACGCGATGAAATGAGCCGATTCCTGAAAAGCTGCTCAAAATTGATCTTCAGCTCATTTTCCCGTGTAGGTCCAGCGTGTGTGTTTACAGATCAGAGTTTACAGCCTGCCTGAGTAATGTAACATACAGATGGTTTTTAGTAAACAATGGTTCTGTTTTACCATTGCAAAGAACCATTTAAGCATGAAATGGCTCTATTTAGAACTCACGGTTCTAAATAGAACCATTCCCTTTACTAAAGATCCCTTGAATAACTATCTTTTTAAGTGTGTACAGTCCGAGAATTTAGATATTATTCACCCAGTTTACACCTGGTCACTTCATGCGTCTTTGAGTGTCAGGATAAGAGCGTCTGCTGAATGCTGGAAATTCAACACATATTCAACATATTCAACATATTCAACATGCTGGTTAAAATGCTTACAAATTCAAAACACAGTTCAATGTCATATTAAATATATAAACAGTTGTTCAGTATCTCTAATATAGATTATGTGGTTTCTGACACTGTATGACTCACTGTTACCTATAAACATGGACTAAAATACGATATGCATAGATATCAGTGAGTCATACAGTGTCAGACACTACATAATAAAGGCTGTTAGAGATACTGAACACCTCCACACGCTCTGAGGATAGTATAGACAGTAAGACAATAGTTCTATATAGAACCTTTTATGCTCAAAAGGATCTTTGCATGGTAAAATGGTTCTTTTGAAAAAGGGTTCTGCTATTGTTACGATGTGAAGCTTGTATTTATATTTCCCCATACAAAGAACCATTTAGGCATGAAATGGTTCTGTATAGAACTCATAGTTCTACACAGAAGCATTTTTTTTACTAACAAACCCTTGAAGAAGTCAGGCAACCCAAATGTTAAGAAGAGCCACCATGGGAGCCACAGCATTTCATGTCTTATCTGTAAATATGTCTTAGTATGTGCTAGTAATATACTAGTAATATACTAGAAAATGAAAAAATAAAGAAATAAATGAAAACGCAGACTTACTTTGCTCTGCGTTAAGCTTTAGCTCAGCTATAGCTGCTTTTCTCGCATCTCCAGCAGGAAACTTTTCCGCAAAAGTAGAACAGTTTCTTCTAAAACGTCTCTCAACATTTGACTTTTCATGAGGTTGAGGTCCCGAATGTAACTGCTGCACCATTTAAGGTGAAACAACTTCAGCTTTGTGACTTTTTAGTGTTTCAGTTTCTCGTTGCAGATTAAACGTATCAGGAAACCAGCTGGAGTGATTATAAACACTACTAAGTCCATTCATCTCTAAATTACCGATGTTCACCTTAAATCTCTCTTTTTGCCGTTTCGTTAGCTACTAGCTGGGCGAGACTGTTGTCTGTGTTGCTATGGTGACCAGCAGTCTGCGCTGATCTTCAGGGTTAAAGGGTGAATTAGCAGTTCTACATTAACTCCAGAGTTTAAGACCATTTATTGTTAAACTGTGTTGAACGATCAGCAGAGCTTTATTTTACTGTAAAGGAGGATTATTTTATTTTTGCCTAAATCTGATTCTGCTGTGGAGCCACAACAGGACAGTAAAAGAGCCGCGTGTTGCGACTCCTGGTGTTTTGTGCCACTTTCCTTGTATGAGCACAACATGTTTAATGTCATGCTGGCTTGTAAATATCGTTAAAAGGCGTGAAAATTAGTACGTCAGACCAAACTATGCACTATGCAACATGGCGTTGTTTCATACAGTGTCTGTTTTTGTATGCGTGTCTCCCATAAGACAAGTTTACCAACATGGGTGCCATATTTTTTAAACACAGTAGCATATATTATTTTACTGATGGCGCTAAACAGCAGCTCAGTCTGTCCCACTGCTGAGAAAATCAGATCTAAGTTGATGCAATTAATTATAGAGCACAGGGAAGCTGAACTATGGTGTCCTCATATGAAGATACCAGTTCTCAGATATGTAAAGCCCTAAATGAGCTTTTTATTAGGCTAAGTGGGTTAATATGGGGTAGATTTAACATTTTGATCAATATTGTCACCAAACAAAGCTGATTAAGAAACATTTCGGAGGTGCTAACGAAACAGCACAGACTGACTTCCCACACAGAAATCATATAGCAATGTATAGATGTGATATATATTAGCATACATGTATATATCTAACCTACATTTGCCACATATAGACATATATCTGACACATACACTGCATAAAATGGTCTCTTGTCAAGTAAAATTATCTTAAATATTGTCAATAACTCTAATATGTCTCCTGTTGAGATTGTTGTAAGCTTAATTTAAGATTATTTACCTTATTTATAGACATTTTTTACTTGTTTTAAGTAATTTAATTAAGTGAAACATGTATGATCTATACATCAGACACAATTATCAGTTATTTAGTATATGTATGATCCGTATATTATGCCTGTGTCCAATATTTGATACTTACATAAATGTACACTACATATATGTTCATAAATATTCCTGACCCTTTATGATACATGTGCATGTATGACCATATATCATATTTCCGTATGGTTATACATCCTCACCCTGTCAGCATGTACCCTGAGATCACCTCAGACGCACAGCGGCAGGAGTACAAGAGGGAGTTCGACTCTGACCTGAGGAGATACAAGCAGCTCTGCGCAGAGATGGACGACATCAACGACGACTTAAACAAACTGAGCCGAGAGCTGGACACGCTGGACGAGGGGACGACCAAATACGAGGTCAGTAACCGGAAGTTTAAATCTTTTACACATTACAGTTCATATAAGACTATTAAAGGTGAAGTTTAGCCAAAAAGTTTTACCCCCTTAAACCAAATAATGCTCTTTAGTTTTAGCACTGAAGCTACGAGGCTAATAGCTAACAAGTAAAAGCTTATACCCCACTAATTAGCATGGTACTGTCAAGTGAAATGATCTTAAATTTAGTCAATATATTTAATAATTATTATTTTAATATAGTTATTATCAGATGAACTCAATATACTGGCAGATTATTTTGCATACTGTAAGAAATAAGCTTGAAACCAACAAAAATGTCTGCCAGTATAGTAAAAAAAAATTACTTTATTCACTTAAAACAAGTAAAAATGTCTAGAAATAAGTTAAAGATCTTGTAATAAGCTTACATGTTTATACATAACTAGAGGCACAAGCCAGAATTCTGCTTATCCACAGAGTGTCTGTCTGTTAACGTGGACTAAGACTGTTTACTTTGACAGGAATGGGCCGTTTGACATGCATGGACTGTTACAGGGGAGGTTTAGCCAAAAAAAAATCTGTTTCACTCAGTTTTACCCCTCAGACCCCAAAGGTAAAAGATCTGAAGCAAACTGAGGTTTGGCTCTTTAGATTTGGCTAATGTAGCTTCTACCCCATCAATCAGCACAGTGCTAACTGCAAAACAAGTGCAATCCTAATTCTAGTTGACATATCTAATACTCTCATTTTGAGATTGTGTAAATTCATTGTAAGATTATTTAACTTATTTCTAGACATTTGTTACTTGTTTTCAGTGAAATTGTCTCACTACACTGGCAGATAATTTTGCTTGTTGTAATAAATAAAATGAGCAATATTATCTGCCAGTATAGTGAGATAATTACTGAATCACTTAAAACAGTTAACAGTGAGTGTGTTTACATGCACTCAGTACTCCGATCATTATCAGATTTCTGTAGTTATCTGATTATTTAATGGTCGTGCAAACAGCACACTCGATTTCTTATATTGGATTAAGGTCTAGAAATCCTATTAGGAAATACGATGAAGAGGCTGGATTTTAGCTCAGTAACCAGATTCCTCAGTGCTGTAAACTCTGACTCTGATTTCTATCAGATTTCTCAGTCTGAGCATGTGTGAAACAGACAGTGGTACCAGAAATAAGCGAGCAGCGTCGCTCCAACAGTGTTTTGCTGCTTCTCGTGGCGACGCTGCTCGCTTATTTCCAGTACCGCCGTCTGTTTTCACACAAGCTCAGACTGAGAAATCCGAAAGAAATCAGAGTCAGAGTTTACATCATTACTGACTCCATGCTTGACTAAATGAAGGGTTTAAATATTCTTCATCTTCTAGATGATGTTTGTTCATATTTTCAGGTGAAGTGGAGCATGAAGTTTGGGTTTTACGTCATGTTTACGTCTCGTCTTCTTCTGTGAGTTTATTGGCTGGTTGTAAAGCAGAAATCTGGTTACTGTCTGACTCATGTAGACCCAGAGTTTACCCATTATCTGATTACTCAAGTGCATGATTTTCTGCAGTTATTGGATTATTAAATGCATGTAAACACAATGTCTAGAAATGAGATAAATAATCTCATAATTAGCCAACAACAATTTTGAATTAGGAACATTAGCTCTAATGACTTTATAAATTAAGATCATTTCACTTGACTAGACCCCATTTTTCGCAGTGTATCATCACACACTGCCCTCAAACCGTGAGGAGTTCCCAGGTCATATGGTTTTCTTGTATCTCTCTTTTTGTCTCTGAGGTCCATCATGACATTTAAGTGGTTTCATGTCTCAAAACCAGCTGCAGTTCATTTCTACATGACCATTTTCCAGCCTCTCTGTATCCCTCAGAATTTAACAGGCTGTTTTTGTTACTGCGCCTTTAAGACTCTATTCATGAGTGGACAGTGAGGCGTGTAGCTGTTTATGCCTCGAATTTCCATGTGTCTCGAACGTAAACACATATAATCGGATTTGGGGACTGGAGGAGGCGTAGTACGTCAGTATCTCTCTGCTTTCCTTATCAGACAGAGATGAGTCCCTGAAAATGTACGAGCTGTAACAGATGTTTAGATCACATGGACTGATAACGCATTCTATAAACAAACAGCAGAGGAGAGGAAGAAGCTGCAGTGATCACTCAGTTGATTAGACGCTCCTCCGTTGCTGTCGGGGGCGCTTTAGGACACTGCAGCGTTCACTCTGTAGACCGTATGGTGTCGTATGTGTCCCTGATCACCTCTGAAGGCTGGCTGAGGGCCTGAGTGTTAATGTAAAGGTTACTGCCGTGTGTAAACAGAGCCAAGCAGACTTGGCAACCGAGACCTGGAGTGACCGAGACGGGACCAAGACCAGATTAAGGTTTTAGAAAGAATATGAAAATAGAAAGGAGAAGGAAAAATGACATTTGTGATTCATTTAACATTCATTATCACTCATTATTATTTATTATAAAATGCCAAATTGAATCCCAAATGGCTTTGTACTCCCTAAATAGTGTTCTAGCTATGAAAGTTTAGAAATTCTAGCCTCCACAGCCAAACAGTGCATAATGTATCGAGTGTGGATGAGTCTGAGTCCCAGATGACTGTTTCTCAGCTGTATTTTGCTCTGTTGGGCTGCAGGATCCAGTATTTAAAGTCCTATGTAGTGCACTATGTAGGGAGCAGGGAGCCATTTGAGACTCCAGTGTGAGAAGAGGGCGCCTCTGGATTGGGGCTAAATAAGACTCACGGTGGTGATTTGGTGACCAGAAAGTACTTATAAAGTGATGGTTGTACATTAAACAGTGCTGTTATCATATGTTCATGACAACAAGTTAAAAAGTTAATGAAATGACTGCAACATACAGCAACGGGTGACCGAACGTTCTCCTCATCCAGTGTCCCTGGTTGTTCGGCAATGATGCCGTACTCTAAAGGAACTACATTTCTTGGTGGAATACTTGTTTATGTCGATTGTTATTAATGGTTATAATAAGTTATTTTCTGAAAAATTGTGTATTTTATCATATTTTATGTTATTTTACATTTTATAAAACCAATAAGCCACTTGAGGCCGTGCGTCACGGTGATTTTATCACAGGGAAGGGGGTTTTGAAAAGCTGGCAGTCTTTTCTGTTGTAACAGGTCTATTTCATAATCAGCGTGATATATGTTCATAAATAATATTATATTTTATTTGTTTTGTGAAATAATACACTAAATAACACTCAGCCTTCACTCGGTTGGTATGGAGAACAATTTCCAAGTCCACTTTACCCCAAGACTGAGTCAAGGCCGAGTCCAAACTGATGTTGAGACTGAGACGAGACTGAGACCGTAAATTTATGGGCTTGAATACTATAACACTAATAAACATGGACCAAAGTACATTAGCATAGCTAAAAACAGTAGCAACCACCTGGAACACTGAATTATGTCCATACTTTGGCCATTTTTATTAGGATATGGTTAAATTGAAGTGCATATATATATAATATATACAGTCAGTGAGTGTTTATATCATATATATATACTATATATATGATATAATGAGTGTATATATTATATATATCATTTATACAGTCAATGAGTGTATATCTTGGCTGATCGACTACATGTGGTGTGTGTGTGGTGGGGGGGCTGTATAACAGATTTTTGCTGAATGATTCCTTTAACAGAGAATATTAGCAATATAAAACAGTTTTATAGACAGAAACTGGGCTTTGTGTTTTGCAGGCCAAGTTGGAGTTGGTGACCCCAGAATCTTACTGTGCCTCAGGACTTATAATCTGTTTATTAAAGATGGAAATGAATTAATAATGAGGATTATTGTATTTCCTTCTTTGTTTTTAGGCCGTGGCAGAAGAGTTTAACCGGCTCAAAGACCTGAAACGGGTAAGATTCAACACAGACACAACACCGAGATGTCCACTGTGCTTTTACAGATGTCATTTAAGAGTTTGGACTCCTCTAATTAAAAGTAACCACTAATTACAGTGAAGTTGAGACTAAATTATTAGTTATTTACAAAGAAATCAATGTAAATAAAAGACTTTTATTTATTATTCTCTCCCAGCATTTAGAACTTCAGTGAAATGTAAAGTTGGAAAATGTTGAAGCCCAATAACTCTATCATCCTAATTAATATCTGTGTTTCGTTAAGGGTTAATTAGTGGAATAAGTGTCCTCGTTAATGCGTTAGAGCCAGTAAGGTGTGTTGTTGGTGGAGTCTAAATTCTAAAATATAGAGTAATTCCGTAAGTGTTATTTCTAGGGCTATCAAACGATTAAAATAATCACAGTTAATTGCATCAATTCGTGAAGTTAATCGCAATTAATCGCATTTATTTTAATTGCTCAGATTTGACCCTAAAGAAAGTTTCCATTTAGAAGCAGTGCTGTAGCGGCGTGAATGGACAAAATCAGCCTCATCAGAATGTATTTATTGTTTTTAATAATTCATTATACACAGTTAATGAGTGTGTATATCATATATATCATACATGTAGTCAGTGAGTGTATACATCATACATATCATGTATAGAGTCAATGAGAGTATATAATCATATGTATCATGTTTACAGTCAATGAGAGTATATAATCATAGGTATCCTGTATACAGTCAATGAGAGTATATAATCATAGGTATCATGTTTACAGTCAATGAGAGTATATAATCATAGGTATCCTGTATACAGTCAATGAGAGTATATAATCATACGTATCATGTTTACAGTCAATGAGAGTATATAATCATAGGTATCCTGTATACAGTCAATGAGAGTATATAATCATATGTATCATGTATACAGTCAGTGAGTTTATGTATTATATATATCATATACAGTCAATCACAGATTCTATCAGAGCGACATACAGCGCTGCAGCTGGACTTCAGCCTGCACTACTATGGATGGGGTGAAGAGTCGAACTAGGAAAATGAGTTTAAAAATTAGTACCTGTAATTATTTATCTCGCTAACGTTAACATTAACGTGTTTACCTCGACAGCCCTGGTTATGGCATAGTTCTACTGTTCATCCTAAAATGTGGAAAATAGAAATAAAGTAAAACTATTCAGCAGCCGGTGCCTTTAAACGTTTGTCTGCTCTTAAGAGAAGAAAATCTCTAGACAGACAGACAGTCTGGGTTTATGTTCGAGCGCTGAGACAGTGAACCTGTTGCTAACGGAGACGTCTGGCGCTTTTTTCCTTTTGTTTAGATGCCGGACTATCAGGAGAAGAAGCTGCAGTGTCGCCGGCTGCGCCACAAGCTGTTCCACGTCAAGCGCATGGTGAAGAGTTACGACCGAGCCCAGCCTTAAAAAGCTCCTCTCTTTCCTCCTCAACACTCCCGAATCCAAAAGCGAGGACTGTAGGCCAAAAAGCCTGTTTGTGTGTCTGTTCTGTGTGAATGTAAAGCTACCAGGACCAGGAACAGCTCAGTCCGCTCTGCCTGTAGACTCGCCCAGCGCTGATCATTAACCACAGTGATTATAAACCAAACGCCGTCTCACCGCTGATCAGGAAGTTATTCCGCACGCCAGGAACTGTTTCTACACTTCCGCTTTCAGCTAAAGTGTCACTTTGGCCTCTTTTATAATGTAGAACCAAACGGTTCTGAGTAAGCGTTCCAGTGGGGGTTCCACACAAACTGTCATCGCCACATCTCGCCAAAACCAAATTATTTCATCAAATAAGCGAAAGCGGTGCACGATTTTCAATGCACCGTTCAGTAAATGTCAGTCCATCAATCTGGCAACAGTTGCTAAATGATTAACAGCATTGCTAACTATGCCAGGCGCAGGTTAGCATTAGCTTAGCTAGCATGCTACCAGCTCTGCTCACTCAAATTACTCAAATTTGAGGAACCAAAGTCGGCAGCTGGTGTTGGAAGAACAGAAAGGCAGGATTAAACCTGTTCAGTGGTGTTTGGAGCCTCCTAGCTAGGCTAATGCTAACCTCTCCTTTAGCCTAGTTAGCTTTTCTAGTATCCAACAGATCCAAACACCGCAGTACCGGTTTGATTGCGTCTGTTATTGCGTAGACGATAAACACTCACGTCTGAGAGAGCAGAGTCAACCGAACCTGTTCTGTGGTGTTTTGAGCTGTAGCCTGCTGAGCTAGGCTAATGCTAGTGTAACGTTAGCAGGCTAAAGATTCCACCCAGTGCAGTACAGGTGTGGTTCTAGATAAATGATGTTCAAACAACACCCATTGAGAGGATGAAGACTCTAAGAGCACAGAATCGAGTGACGGCTGTTGGAGTAACAGCCAATCGAACATGTTCTCTAGTGTTTAGCCTCTTAAGTTGTTAGCCTGTCAGCCATTGCTAGGCCACTTTTGTGTGTAGTTTTTCTTCCGCACCAGCGTGGAACGGCACAGTACGGCCCTGAGAACCATTCGGCTCTACAGTGGAAAAGGTTTTTCTGCCGTAAAGCCTCAGAGTAGCGATGTAGCTGCAGACGACTCACAATGAAGAAAATACCCCCTCCCTCCTCCTTTGGCTCATGAGCAAATGAGAGACCACAGGTATTGAAAAATTCTATCAATACTCATTTAAAGTCTCTCATGACTGCTTTATTTCAAGTGTTTTTAATATCGCCGGTTTTGTCTGCCAAAAAAAAGTCATTCCAGCAGCTTTTTTACATCTTAACTGATGTTGAAAACATTAGAACCCCATATGTATTGACAGATTCCAGTGATGTTTTCTTTAGTCATCAATAAACCCTCCAAACTATAATAAACCCACACACTACATCTCGACATTACAATAAACAGCCAGCCTGCCGGTAGAGCATGTTAGCACGACTGAAACGTCCGCAGTAACACTCCTGTTATGCCTGTAGATGTGAGTAAAAATAAACATTACCTCTTACAGCACTGTTAGCTAATCAGAGCGTTTCACTACTCTCTTAAAAACCATGGTTCTTCAAGGGTTCTTTAGAAAAGAGTGTTTCTATATAGAACCATAAACACTCAAAGAACCGTTTGCATGCTTAAATGGTTCTTCGCATGGTCAAATGGTTCTCGGATTGATGGAGAATGTGTTGTATATGGTTTCATACAGCACCAAAAAGGGTTCTACTGCTGTAGGCAAGCCTGACATCATAACAATAGCAGCAAACTTATTAGTGCTATTTAGAACCATTTTCAAAAAGGCTGTATATAGAACCATATACAGCACATTCTGCATCAGAACAAGTTCACCATGCAAAGAACAATTTACGCGTGAAATGGTTCTAAATAGAGTCGTTCCCTTTACTAAAGAACCGTCTTTTTTAGGAGCGCACCGATAGCTGATGTTACTGCTGGCTAAAATGAGCTTAACGTTAGTTAGCTAGCTGGTCGTTAGCTACAAAAGTAGAGAGAAGGACTGTTGTTTTATAAAATAGCATTAATGATTATTGAATCATCTGCACAAGCGTGAAACTGAAGGGCAGTGAGGGGGCGGGGCTTTCACGGTAACGGACTCTGTTCATTATGGGAAGTGTTTGGGTTCAAACTTACTCTACTTTGCTTCCATGGTAACTGAGAATGTTACCTGGTTTTATTAAATTCCCTCGTAACTCAGTGTGTGAGCTGTAAACAGAGTGATTCAGAGTGGTTTGGTGTGAAATGGTTCAGATGTCTTTACAGTGGTGGTGATAGGAACCAGGGGTCGCCATGACTACAACACAAATATAGACATTTTATTTACTATCCAGAACCACCAGTGAACCTACACGAGTCTTCTGAGTTTATATGGAATGTTGATGATGGAAAATAGTGGAAAATCTGAAATAATCAGTTTTCTTTGGGGACTATTTGCCTCCAAACTCAATAATCCGATCATAATAGAATTTCTGCAGTTTGATCTGATTATTCAAGGGGTCGTGTAAACAGCACACTCTGATTTCTTACATCAGAGTAAGCTCTAGAAATCTGATTAAGAAATCCGGATTGGATTTTAGCTCAGTAATCAGATTTCTCAGTGCTGTAAACTCTCTACTCTGATTTCTTTTGGATTTCTCAGTCTGAGCATGTGCGAAAACAGACGGCGGTACCAGAAATAAGCGATGCAGCGTCACTCCAAAATGTTTTGCTGCGTCTCGTGGCGACGCTGCAACTAAATACATCCTTGACGAAATGAAGGGTTTAAATATTCTTCATCTTCTAGATGATGTTTGTTCATATTTTCAAAGTGGCGTGAAGTTTAAAGAAAGACGCTCATGAAGTTTGAATTTACATCACGTCTTCTTCTGTGAGTTTATTGGCTGGTTGTAAAGCAGAAATCTGGTTACTGTCTGACTCATGTAGACCTGAAGTTTCCCCATTATCTGATTACTCAAGTGCATGTTTGGTTGGATTGCTGACTAAATCTGATTTTCTGCAGTTAGCAGATTATTAAGTGCATGTAAACACACTCAACGTCTCAGTCATCAGGCAGTGAATTCATAACATTTCATGTAGGAACTTTCTGCTTTTAGAGGTGGACGTCTGGTTCCTATCACCACCACTGTGAACAGTTCTGACTCGGTCAGTTTATCTAGAACAGAGCGTTTCACACCAAACCACTCTGAACCACTCTGAACCTCTCTGTTCACATCTGAACCACCTAATTATGCAGAAGCTGAAGGAGGAGGCTTGTGTTCATTCATATCTGCTGGACGCTGGTGTAAACGCCCTGTGAGGTGTCAGAGGACGGTGTGGTACGGTGAGGGCGCGGCAGCGCAGAGTCATCGAGTCTGATAAGAGAGCGATACTTTCTGCTGTTTGTTTGTTTTTGATATGGGAGAAACGTACTTTGGTTTGAGCTGGGTGATAAAAAGTGGTGTGTAATCTGAGAGAGAGAGAGAGAGAGAGAGAGAGAGAGAGAGAGAGAGAGTGAGAGAGAGAGACAGTGAGAGAGACAGAGTGAGAGAGACAGAGAGAGAGAGAGAGAGAACACAGAGCGAGAGAGAGAGAGAGAGAGAAAGGGAGAGCGAGAGAGAGAGAGAGAGGGAGAGAGGTTCCAGACTGACACAGAGCCAACGCCGTAAGCTTTCTTCAATGAGAAAAATGATGAACTTCTCATGCTTTTTCTTTGATGGCTCGCGGTTCCAAACCGAGCAGTTCCTGGAAATTTGTGCAAACCTGCTTCATCATTTCTAACAAAAAGACTTTTTTATACACTTCAAAGTAATAATAATAATAATTGGGTGAAAAATTTGGTGAATAGGCAGATTGAGTCTCTTCCCCCACCACCCAACCCCTTCCTCCAAATGGAGTTGATCAGCCGAGACATGTTTTGGTGTTTTATTATTTGTTTGTTTGTTTTTTTTTTTTTGCTTACCCCACCCCCAACCTCACCCCCCACCCTCACCCCCAACCTCACCCCCCACCCTCACCCCCAACCTCACCCCCCCAAAGGGCTGCTAAGCCTTAATTAGTGATAAGACATAGTTCACAGATCAGTGCCGTCCCATAAAGAGAGAGGACACGCACTAATTAACACAAATTCCACAGCAGGAATCTGACTGACAAAGAGATAAAGAGAACACCGAAGGGAAGAGGAAGGAGTAAATAAATAATTAATAAATAAATAATAAAACAATAAATAAACGAATAAGAAAACATTTACACACAGACAGCAATATAACTGTAATCTGTTTGGTGTCTGAAGTCTGGCTCTGTAGTCTTAGCACTGGTGCTATGAAGCTAATGTAGCTAACAATTAATGGAAGGGGGATACTAATCAGACACACCCACTGGGCATAAATACCCACAATACATTGCGCAAACAGTCAGAGCCGAATTGAGCCAAATGAACCGACTTCACAATCATCTTTTTGTGTTTTACTGTATTTATGTTTAGTTGTATTTATTCTCTTATCGATCGTCTGTATATACAAAACTGTAACGTAACTGTGTGTAGATGATTGTATATTTTACTCATATATGAGTTCTGCGCTCTTATAGTGTTCGGTTGGTGATTAAAATGCATCCCACGTTTATTTTGTTTGGGATGTTTGTTCTCTTAAAAACTAGCAACTGAAACATTAAATCCATATTATTGGCCAGATTAAGTGCATAAAATGAATATGCAGTGAATCAAAGCAGTGCTGATTAATACAAATATCATCAGCGCTGTTAAGGCTAACTTACTCTTCTGATTGATCAGATATCAAAAGCCTTATTAATAGTAAATGTAACTGTAAGACGGTAATATTCAGTCTTTAAACCCTGTACAGTGTTAGATCAGTCTAACCTGCTTCACTCAGTACAGTTTCTCACTGTAGAGCTGTAAACAAACAACCCTCACTGTCATTAACAGTAGCCACTCTGGCTCGCAGGCTGGCGCTAACTCACAGAGAGTGAGTGGCCGGAGTTAGCCAGTTAGCTGCCTACACAGTCCACTCCACTGACCACCGCTTCATTCGGCACTGCGGCTCAGCTCAGCTCTGACTGTTCGCGCAATGCACTATGGGTAAGCTCTAGTATCCCCTGTAATGGAAGAATATTAGCATTGGCCCGTTAACATGTCTACGTCATCATGTTGAGTTGTTAGCTAAGTAATGCAGTGATGCAGTTAGCACCATGCTTCCAGAGAACCTGTAGAGAGGAGAATTCTCCACCTTCTGGGTTCCTCAAACACTAGAGGGCGCTCCTGAGCGAGTCCAAAATGAATGGGTTGATATGGAGCATTTGAGCAAAATCATAGTTTATAAATGTTTAAACATTTTTAATGTAAAATCATTCCTTCATTTCCTGAACACAGAGCAGCATAAAACACTTTAACACTGCTGTTATATTTTTAAGAGCTTTTAAACTCGAGTTATAGGAGTTTAAACGGTGCCTCATGTACGTTCATGACGTCAGTGAGCGCGAACAGCCAATGAACTGCTCCACTCACCAACCAATCATCACGCTCTAGCAGTAATGCCCGCCTCCTGCTGCCCAAAACCCAATTGCTGTAGAAAAAAGGAAACACACAGGTACGATTTCTTTTTTTTTGTGAAATTCATTCCTCTACTTTCTAAAACTAAAGGAAAGTTCTGGGAAAACGATGAGAAACGGTTTTAACTTTTCGTTTTTAGCCGTTGACCCATTCACTCCCATTCATTGAGGACTCCCTCGTGGGCGCCCTCTGCTGTTTAGCAGTCCTGTTTTCGATATAACAGGGGAAATAGGAAGTGGTCAGACTCCCCATAAACCAGCTCTGACGCTTCCTCTGCTTGTTAGCTCCATTAGCCTCGTAGCTTCAGTGCTAAAGCTAAAGCGAACCCTGAACATGTCTCGGCTGACTGACTACATTTGGGTTAAAGGGGGGAATTAGAGTTTTCACCAAACTGTCGCTTTAATATGACAGTCGGACGTAAATAAACTCGTCATCTTTTCAGATTATTAATTCCTTCGAATGGTTCTGGGATTTAAACGGTTAAGCTATTCTAAAGACTGAACAAACGCGCCAGTAGTTCACTATGCAAATCTGCTAAATCCTGTACATATTTACTGTGTGTGATCGATATTCGTGGAATCTGTGTTGATCTTCTTATTTCACTGCAGAGCTGAGTAAATCACTGCCCTGTGTTTGTGTACTAATCACGACCCTATGCAAGATCAAAGGCCTTTGTTTATTTGTTTTTGTAGACGTTAGGATTTATTCACATGCTCATTTTTGTTTGTATTTTTTATTTTTTTGTAAAGAAACAACATCATAAAGGGCATCAGTGACTTTTTAATCAGTGTTTTAGTTTTTTTTATTATCATTGTTTTTTTTCTTTTTTCCATTTGTCACAGAATGATTCATGTCGTTTTTTGTATGTTTCCAAATAAATGAGGTTTGTATTTTAAGTTTAAATGTATTGATTTTTTTTCAAACACTCTTCAAGCACATACATTACTAATATCAGCTTTATTTTGAAAAATGCTTGAATAAACCTACTTTAATACATTTAATATTGATTTAAATGTCTTCCTGTACAGAAATCTGATATATGGCAATATATGGATTTCAAATATACGGCATATATTAGCATATATGGATTTCCCTCATATCGACTCATATTAGTCCCATATGGACATACATGTAACATATAGGCCAACTAACCATTTTCAAATAGGGGACATGTATTTTAGCCATGTATCAACATGTACTGACATATATGTGTAACACATATTAAACATGATAAGATAGACAACATTATTCATATACTTATGGCATATATCATCACATCTTCTCCGTTTCTTCCACTTTCTTCCTGATGAAGTGAAACAGCTACATAACTAAACTCTAAAAACATTATAAACTATGCAATACAATCATTTAATCATGAAATATGTGAAACATTTGAATAATGTATTATATAGATATATTTTGTAAGATAAATGATCCATATATTTTGCATTTATGTCCAATATTTGATATATTAGATACACATTCAAACACACTAAAGTAGTTGCCTTCAAATGTACTTAAGTATCAAAAGTAAAAGTAATAAAGGTTTAATTATGGCTCTAATGTCCTATTATAATTTTTGTAACAAGACTCGCTTCATTAACTCAGTTTAGGTGAAAATACTCCAGTGTCTCTCTTGGTAAACCAGTCTTTTAATAGAGTCATTAATTAGTGACGCTGATGTCTATTAAAATTATCATAAGCACAAAACACTGAAGGCAAACAGTTTCCATCAGGTAGAACTGAGTGGCTCTGAAATCACTTTTTACAAACAAGCAGAGTTTCAGTTTAAGATTTATTTGCAAGTTTAAGTTTAATAAAAACTTTAAACTCAGATTCACAAATGAGTTTCCTTTACTAAACTGCATCTGTAGGTCTCTGTTCATAAACATAAACTAGACAAAACTAATTTACAGTAAACTGAAATGTATTTGTATAAATTCAGAAAAAAAAAGATGATACCCTGATTGGTGTTTTTGCTTTACGCTTCTTTCGTTTTGACATGTTGCGTTTTTATACACACATAAACCAAAAGGAACAACAGATTTCTCATAATGTAGTGGAGTAAAAAGTGAGATATTGAAATGTAGTGGAGTGAAAGTAAAAAGACACCCAAAATGGAAATTAAATGTAAAGTACAGATACAGGAAAAACTACTTAAGTACAGTAATGAATTATATTTACTTGGTTACTGTCCACCACTGAGTCTGTCCATATAGATTTCCGTGTGGATTTGAAGGCCTGTATATCTAAAGCTAATGCTAACATCATGTTGTTGAGCTGATGAGTCTAGACGGGCTTTATTTTGTTTCAAAAAGTAAGATTATTATTTCAGAAGATATTTCTGAGCAGATTAGATATAAAATAATCCACTTTTTTGCTTTATTTTTCGCCAAACGTCCTTCTCGATTTCTGCCGTGTTGCTTTGGCGCCATCTGGCGGCCGCCCCTCAAAGCTGCAGCGTTTGCTTCGCCTTCACTCGGCACTCTGCCGGAAACGCACGAAGTGAGTTACGGCCCAAGCCCCTCCCCAGCGCGCGCGCGAGTGTGTGTGTGTGTGGAAGCACAGTGAGGTGTGAAGAGCTCAGTGTGTGTAAACGGAGTGTTAATGCTGCTCAGAGAGAAACGCGACACCCCTGAAGACTGAAGCGGCCAGGTGAGTCACCGTCACTCAGGTAGGGTCACCTGTCGCTTTTATCAGCGCTTCTCTGTACCTGACAGTGTTATCGGCGCGTTGGTCTCATTTATTTTTCTTACGTGAATCCCAGGCTTAACGACGTGATGGTGCACTGTGCACGCGACCATTCAGAAAGAAGTGCACGTGCACAGGTGCGTGCACGCCTAGATATCTGAATGATTAACTGGGAGGCATTGATTATCAGTGAGTTTGTCATTGTGGCTGTTTAAATTTGCATAAAGTTGGCTTCTCATTCGAATTCCCGGTCCACCTTAAGAGGTACCGCGGTTACTGCACCATTTAAGGTGGAACCCAGAATTCAGCTACAATCTTAAAGACGATTCTTCAAGACGTCTTAAGTAAAGGAAATGGTTCTGTTTAGAACCATGATCTTTATATAGAACCATTTCATGCTTACATGGTTCTCTGCATGGTGAAACGGTTCTTCTATATAGAACCTGTTTGGAAATGGTAGAACCAAAAATGATTCTGCTATTGTATACGAGCTTGACATGAATAGAAGAACCCTTTTTGGGTCCTTTAGTAAAAGAAACGGTTCTGTTTAGAACCATAAGTTCTATTTAGAACCATTTTATGCTTAACGGTTCTTCGAGCTGTTTGGCTCCAGGTTGTAGCTCCTGGTTTAATTTGCTTAAAGGATTATTGGTGGCCCGAGCTCAGCGAAGGTGTCCCTGCGTTTAGGTCACGTGTTCTGCATGTGTCCAGTTAATCCAGCCTTACTTTCACCACACGTGGTTGACTGCTGTCCTCTAAGGTCATTAACCCCCCACAGTCCGGCCTCCTCATTCACAGAGTGACCTTAACGCAGCGCTGAGATCTGAACCTGCGCTAAACGTTCAGCTCACTTTTAATTAAAATTCATATTCAGAGTAGCTTTACTGGCGTGACTGTTCTGAGTACAGTGTTGCCAAAGCGTAGAAAATTCAACTCAAAACATACTTTGTAGAACCAAAAAACAAATAAAGAATTAATAATAGTAACAACAATAACTGTCATATTGAAATAACAGCAACAATATTAAAGTATAGAAAGTAAATTAATAAAATAAGACATAAGAATAAGACAATCAAACAATTTAACCTCTCTGACCCCTTCAGTGTCTCAAGATCAAAATTCTGAGGGGTTCCTAACTTTATTAGAACTTCATTCTGGATCTTAACTTTATTAGAACTTCATTCTGGATCTTAATTTTATTAGAACTTCATTCTGGACACTAATTTTATTAGAACTTCATTCTGGACACTAATTTTATTAGAACTTCATTCTGGATCTTAATTTTATTAGAACTTCATTCTGGATCTTAATTTTATTAGAACTTCATTCTGGATCTTAATTTTATTAGAACTTCATTCTGGACACTAATTTTATTAGAACTTCATTCTGGACACTAATTTCATTAGAACTTCATTCTGGACATTAATTTTATTGGAACTTCATTCTGGATCTTAATTTTATTAGAACTTCATTCTGGATCTTAATTTTATTTTCAATGATCTCAAAATTGGTCCGTAAGTTGTGTCCAAGGTGGGTAATAGAGGGGGTCCTGGTGTGTCTGGGGCCCTCTAATTAACCTCTTGGACCCCTCTGAATGTCTCAAAATGAAAATCCTGGGGGTCCCTGAAAATAAACTGATTATAATGTTCTGCTGTCCATCATAAAAATAGTCACTCAAATCCAGATTCAGTGAAGCTGATTGTTGATCTGCTTCCCCCACAATCAGCTTCTGTCTCTGGTGTTCTTAACTAACTAGAGCTGCAGCGCTGCTCTGCCTCAGGGTGGCGCTGTAGCAGACTGGTTCACCCAGTTGGTCCTTCATAGTCTAGAAACTGTAACTCTGCCCGGATTCCTCTGAAAAACTTTACAATGAGCTGCAGCAGATCTGTAAATCTGAAAACTCGCCCAGTTTCCCAAGAGTTTGGAGTGAAGAGTGACTGTTCCTCATTTCTCACACTGAAGACAGAAGAGGAGACGAGGAAGATCTCAGTTACTGTGAGGAAGAGCACAGAACCGCACTAGAACAGAGACTCTACAGAAGAACAGCTGATAAAACAGACATTTACTGACACTGAAGCATCAGCGCCGCTATGGAGAGAGAGTTAGCAGACAGACAACACGAGACCCCCTGGATACTGGGGGGGTTTCACAGAGTGGATGTGTCCCTGTGTGACTCTGTCTGCCGCAGTGAGGACTGAGCTCCAGCGTTAGCAGCAGAGCTCTCTGTGCAGTCTGCTCTGTCCAGATACCCTGGCAGGCTGTGTGGGTGTGCTAAGTGCTGCGGGGACGTTGCTGATTCGGCAGAACCGCGTCCAGCCCTCAGCCCTCAGCCCTGCCGTGAAAGCTTCATCAGGTCTCTGCGGACTCCTCCTGAGCTCCGTAACGAGGTCCGCAGAGAACAACTGCAGGAACCATCCGGAAATAATGCACTGCTGCGCTTTTAAACACTCAGAAACTGTTTCGTCATTGATTTGCAACATATTTGAAGCAATAATTCAGCAAAAAATCTAATTTATCCAGTTTTCTTTCCCCAAAACTTCCCCTCAGCCCAGACACCTTCGGTTCTTTAGTTCAACTCTTAAAAACGGTTCTTCAAGTGAAGAGAATGGGTCCATGAGTCCTATATAGAACCTTCTGCATGATGAAATGGTTCTTCATGTTGATGGAGAATGTGTTGTAGATGGTTCTTTTATAGCACCAAAAAAAGGGGCTCCCTGATAAACCCCAAAAAGGTTTGGGAAGAACCAACAACCCTGTTTTTTCAGGGTGGCTCAGTCTATTAGAGATTACTGAACTCCACACGGTTTGAAACAAGTCATCCTCTTGGGATTATAAGGTTCTGTCTGAGTTCTGAGCTGTTTTGAGATATTGAGCTTCAAAGATTTTGCGTTCCAAATAACAGAACTGATATGTGGAAAACGTCTGTCTCATACATGAAAATTACACCCTAAATTTATTCTAAACGTACAGTATCAGAATCCTATCAAAGACAGGTCAAATGCAGATAGAACCTTTTAATCTTGAGAACTCACTTTCTGTTTAGAATTATAAGGTTCTAAATAGAACCTGATAGAGCTTAGTTTGACTTTGGAGGTGGGAACTATTTTTGTTTTCTAGATAAACAGTCCAAAAATGCATAGAACTTCACATGATGTTAAGAAGTCTAAGTATATGTGAATAATGTGAACTCAATTTTGACATAAACGTCAGATCGAACCTTATCATTCCAAGCAGATGAAGCATGAGATGATTTAGACATACAGTTAGCATCATGCTAATTGCTAATTGGTGGAGTATAACGCTGTTGTCGGAACAAAACCTCGTATCTCCAAAATAATAACTTTACAGGAGAAGGAAAAACACTTTACTTTTAATGGAAGTCAATGGAACCAGAGTTTTTTCCAAGTCATTTCTGAGTCCGTTTCTTTTGGTCCAATCATCACGAAATTTACACACAATATAAAGAACAACAGGGATTTTCAAACGATGTCAAACACTGAAAAACAACAAAAATGGAGATATGAGGTTTTCTCCCGACAGCAGTGATAAGCTTCCATTACTTGTTGGCTTCATTAGCCTCGTAGCTCCGGTGCTAAAAGTAAGGAAGGAAATTCAGACTCAGCTGATCGGCTGCATTTGGGGTGAAGGTGGGGGGATTTTTCACTGAACTGCAGTTTTAAGAGCTCTCTGTGTTGTCTTAGCGCCACTCCGCCACGATGATAAAAGAGTGTCTGCAGTTCCTCATCGAACCAGCCAAGAACCTGAAGATCCGTCTGAAGGTGTGCTCTCCACTCTGTGGGTCCTGATCGTTTTCTTATTTTTCAATACGTCCCTCAGATGCTCAGTAATCACTCACGCTTTCCACTCTCAGGAGTCTCGCAGGCGGGTGCAGATCGAAAGGCGGGAGCCGCTGACGGAGAGCCAGCTGTTCATCATGGAGCTGGCCAGAGAGCTCACCTGGATCTGCCAGGTAAAGCACACCTGTACCTGTCTCAGTAGCATCAACGCCGTATCGGTCAACTTAGAATAATCGAAACATGGCGGTGGGTGAGGGAAAACCTATAGAATTTGATAACAACCATAAACTAGGGCTGCACGATAAATCATGTTTTATCACTATCGCGATATGAGTTTCCACGATAAACACATCGTTAGAGCAGCAGTGACAGAGCAGATCTAATGACCTCATACACACAGCGCCAGAGAGACGTCATAACATCAGAGCACAAATCGTTACAGGCCTGCTTCTCTGCGCTGGGACTGAACCTGCTCTCCGCAGGGAGACGAGGAGCTTCACCGTTCGACCAAACGGCAGCTTCAAAACACACACTGAGACCTAAAAATGTTGCCGTAACTCGGTCATAACTCTGTGTCGGTCAGCCAGACGCTGGCGTTTAAAAGCTGCGTCAGTGAAATCTTAAAGAATACACAGATCTGTAGATCATCAGCTTATTCAGTTTAACCTGTACACATCGTTCTCTTCTAGGCTGGATATTCAGTCAGAGCAGCTGCCGTCGCGTTTCCATGGCAGCAGGTTTACTGATCGGTTCTGATCATCATGTTAAAGTGACGTACATGTTAGTTAGTTGTTATTAGACACGACTTACGGATTTGTGGTGCAACTGAATTTAGTAAAAGGGCAGTTTGGGTTAGTGTAACTGAGGACTCGGTAAAGACTTAAGTACAAACTTACGCAAACCCGGAACAACCCAGTCCTGAACTTTACGAAACGAGCCGAACAGCTACATTCTTCACACAACATACAGCTGATCCTCAGACACTCAGCTGTGGCCTGAACTGCGGTTACTGTGTTTTGCCTCTGTCTGCCAGTAAAGCAGATCCAGCAGTTACAGACTTATCCATTTTGCCCAGCTGATGTTCAGGAGGCTCATTTATCTGATTGACCAGCACGATGTAAAAAAGCTCCTCGTTCTGCTAAGATACGCACAGCCTGATCCTCCTCACAGAGCTTCTCACCTGCAGTGCTGGGGACACAACGCTGCATAGGTGCAACGTTTCCTGCTCTGAAACACCTGATCCAGCTCCTCAGATAGGTCCTCTGTGAGCTGAATCAGGGAGTTCACCAGGGGAGAATATTACCTGTGCTCAGAACTCACAACCAGCAGGGCTGCTGAGAATCTCAGCCGACTCTGACGGAGTGAAGCAACAATCTCAGTTAACCTAAAGCTTAAAGCACGAGTGTTTAACATCTAAACACATTTAAAGACCTTAAAGGCATAGATTATTGATCCTTGATTGCATGAATGTTTGACTGTTCAGTGCATGAACCAGGCAAAGGTGTGTAACTCTTTAAATTTATAGAGTTTAACTCATAAATGAGTGTTACATCCTTACATTCATGGCTGATCTGATGCAACAACAGCGTGATAGATTTCGGTTGGAACTGGGGGTGGGCAATATGACGATATTTTATTGTTATCATTATGAATTATTGCAGTGAGCAAAGTAAGTGTATTTGTAAAACACTCAATACATTTTAAACAATTTTTATTCTTGTTATTATTATTATTATTATTATTATTACTGTAGTATTTTTTATGTGTGGCACTGCAGGTTCTGTTTTGTCTGTTCCAGCTTATTAAATCTAAATATCGTGATGCATATCGTGAAAATATTTTGAAGTATCATGATATACTGTTTGCTGTACCACTCACCCCTAGTTGGAGCTAAACTCTGCAGGAAAGTAGATCTCTAGGAGGAGTGGTGACCACTGATTAAATGCATGAGTGTTTAACACTTAAATGTGTTTGATGCTTAAAATCACATGTTTAACCCTTAAATACGTGAGTGCTTAACCCATAAATACACGTCAACTGATCTAAAAACAGTGATGCTGTCAGTTTTTTATTAACTTTAGTATTTGTTAATATAATGCTCAATGCATATCTAAAAATATAGATGAGTATAAGGAGAAAGTGAGGTCTCGGGTTTTTAGGAGCCCAGATTATGCATTTTAAGGAGTCAGTAAAGTTAATTTATATCATTTCTCAGACATATTTTATCTCTTATGTGTCTTATATTGTATTTTATTATATTTATTTTACACATGCCCGCAACCCAGAAGGATAAGCGGTTTAGAGGATGTATGTATGTATGCCTGTGACCCAGAAGGATAAGCGGTTTAGATAATGTGTGTGTGTGTGTGTATTTTACACACACATTTGTATGAACATAAGCTTGTTACATACAGACCATCTCCCCATCACTAACAATTGTTTTTCCCACCGCCCACCTTTAGAGGTCAGATGTTCTGGCCCATATCTGGACTGGTGAAGATATCTGGCCCCCAGGTGTGTGTAAGGAGTTCATAGTGGAGACAGCGTCCATTCTGGAGATGAAGGTCAGTATGAGCAAATTAAACTGCACACAAAATCCATACAACACACTACAAACAGTGAACACTCCTGCATACGTACAGTGAAAAACTACTGAAAGTAAAACTACTAACCTCACATGGAGTCAGTCAGGAGGATCTTTCAGCCGCTCAGTGAACCACCTGCTGTTTTATTTACTTCTCCACTGACCCAGTAATGTCAGTCGTCAGTATCAGTCAGAGTCAGAGTCTTCATAAAAACTGTGTAAGAAATTTCTTCTTAAGAATGGTTGGTGAATGAGGACCAATGTTACGTTAGCTGGGCTTTTTTCATGATTTAAATAATAATAATAATAATAATAATAATGACAACAACAATAAGTTGGCCATGAACATCAATCGTTACGTTGCAAAAGTTCTTCTAAACTGTAAACGCTGTCGAACTTTAGGTTAGCCTGTTTATTCTACCTTTCTATCTTCTCTCCTCTCTCTGTCTTTAAGTCTTAACACTCTATGTGACTTTTAAAAAGTGCTATCATGTTATAACAGCCTGAGCGTCTCACACTGTCCGGATGCTTTCTGCAGATTTTTTTGGGAGACTGAAATATTAGGGATCACACATAACTCAACTTTTAAGTTGCTGCTGAGCCGAACTTTCCGAATTCACACTCTCTTATTACTAGGAGACGCAGATAAACAAACATAGAGCGTCTGCTGCTGTTTTCTCTGATACAGTAAAGAAGCAGCAGGTAAACATGTTTAATGAGGATCATGGATTAAAGATGTGATCAGTTGGTATTTTTAGAGGTTTAAATGTAAATAAACTCAATTGTGCCTTAAACTCAGCTCATTACAAAGCTTCGCTCCACATGTCAGAGACTTTTCTCCATTTTTCTTTGTTTATTTGCTGTATTTTCTTCCTTTGCTCTGAGTTCTCACTGGAGTCAGTTTAGATTGAGTCTCTGACCTGTTTACACTTGTAGATTGCGCTCAGAGTCGGGTCAAAAAAACAAACATTTGATATTCTTCTACATAAAAGTCTGAGTCTGCGCCGCTTACAAACTACTCGATTTACACTCCCAGCTAGAGCTCTGCACTTTCTGTAGACCCACCACAATATTTTGCAACGTGGGACTAATTTTCAGTGCTGTGTGCGGGAGCAGGCGGGTAACCTGCCCCCTGCAGGCGGGAGCAGGACAAAGCACACGTGAGGAGAAATCCTGCAAATTAATAAACAACCTAAATAAAGTAGAACGATCACTAAATCATAGATAAACGAAATATAATATGATAACAGTAAAACAGTTAAAATGGATGAAGTCATTCTAAAGAGCTGTGAAGCAGCCGATCACGTGATCAACACGCAGATTCATGTATCTCACAGAGACGGCGGAGCCTTCAGTCCGACGGCCACGGCTGCCCAGCAAACCACCAGCAATAACCGCTCTGTGGTTTAATTCCTGCTCTGAGTTTAAATGGTGAATAAACGCCGTTTGTTGAAGTTACTCACAGTGAGCCTGATGACCACGACTGACCTGTTATTTCAGCAGAGAATAATGTGTTTGTGAACAGGCTGTGCTGGGTATGGGAGTCAGTTCATCTTGATGGAACTGCACTGGCGGGAGCGGGACTAATGATTCCGATTTTCTGCAGGAGTGGGATGAAATCTTGCGGGAGCGGGACTAAAAACATTCCCGTGCAGACCTCTGCTCCCAACTGACCAGCACCGACTCAGCCAGACTGAGAATCAAGGCTAAAATCAGGGTAAAAGCTGTGTGCAGTGGCAGCTGCCGCAAAATACAAATAGTGGAAAGACTGAAGTTTCAGGAAAGTTTCTCGTGTAAAGCCTAAGAAGCTCCACTGCTGTCCTATGAGTTCCGAGTAGTTTGTGAGCTGCTGCTGTTGTATTGTTACTCCGGGTGTTTTTGGAAAGCTACACTGGGCATATTAATCATCTGTTGGTGGGAAATGTCTCCATGTACAGCTGAGGGTGTGAAGATAAAGCTGACGAGCTGAATCAGGCTGGATGTGAGGCTGCTGGAGCCGTCGTTGCTGTCCTTGGGCATTGAGCCCAGGCACTGTTCACACGCTGCGTCAGCACATTCTGACAGTAAAATCAAAGGCATTGATTAGGCGCACGCTGCCGTAGCGGCTGTACGTGAAGGTTACTGTGTCAGTGTTATAGTGTAGATCCTGCTGCCTCTGATCCAGTGAGGCCTAATGAGGATGGTTCTCTAACTCAGAGAATATGAATATGTCTGAATAAATGGTTAATATTAGTTTGTTTTGTATGCTGGATGCAAAATTCTCATATATCATGAATAAGACAACGTACATCGGCGCATTAATGTGAAGGTAAAACAGTCAGTGTGTGTCGTTTCTGTTGCGTAAAAAAACTTGTATCTCCAATGTTTGTTGTTTCATAATTTGAAAAGTCCAGTTACTCTTTGCTTTGTGTTCAAATTTGAAGATGAACGGACCAATAAAATCTCCTCAAAATGACTTGGAAAAAATCTTAAAGACTTTTTTCCTTCTCCTGTAAAGTTACCATAAAGTTGCCCTAATCTTAAGAGTGACTGTAACACTGTTCAGAATCAACAGTTACGCCAAAATGTTTGTTTACAGTTTGAACATCTGTAGATAATCTATCCAAATAACGCAGGACCGATATTTAGTGCCTGATATTTAGGAAGATGCATTCAGTTTTGATGCACGTCTTAAACGTGTGTTGTGGTCTGTGAGCCCACCTTTCAGATTGTTTTTGGACATAATGGACATTGTGTTCTCGGGGCCAAAGAAGAAAAGGACCATCTAGACTGTTACCAGTGTAAAGTTCTAAATCCAGTGTGTCATGGTGTGGGGAGGGGGGCCTATTAGTGGGGAATCTGCACATCTGTGAAGGCACCATTAACACTGAACACATTTCGAAGCAACATATCTCTGCTTTTGGAACAAAACCTTCCATCTCCAGAAAGGAAACTTTACAGGAGATGGAAAACGTTCCTAATGTTTAATAGAATCAGTGGAGAAATGTCTTCAGTCCCCAGTTGATTAATAAGTGTGGTAAAAGTAGAGGTGATATAACACAGGGGTAAACATGCTCCTGTTTTTTTTAGAACATGTTTTAGGGATCAAAATTTGATTGAGTGTAAATTACACCAGACCCGAATCATCCAGTGGGAGCCACAAGGGGGCCTTGCGAGCAAGTATGAGAAGATAAAGACAGCTGGTGGGACTTTAATAGCAGCACAGCAAAATATATAGATGAACTCTGTAGTGTTTGACTCAGTCTGAGCTGAGTAATATCTTCATAAGAACAGTGTGAGATCTCATCGTTCTCTTATACAGCTCTGTTCTAGATCACAGAACCTTCTCAGCAGCCTGTCAGTGCAGAAGGAGAACTCACGCTTTTCTCTTTTATCACCAGAACTTCTCACAGTGAGATGCTGATGTTGATCTCCTCTTTTCTGCTGAGGAGGTTCAGGAGAAACAATCCAGAATAATAATAATAATAATAATAATAATAATAATATTTTTTATTTATAAGCATTTTTCATGCCGGTGGCACCTCAGAATGCTTTACAGACAGGTGATAAAACGTATTTATACAACAAATTATAAGTATTTATTTAGAATCAGAAGAAAATGAAACAGATCAAATTAGAAGATAAAAACCGTGAGCTGTAGAGTTTTAATGAAGCGCTGAGTTAAAGAGCTGCGTTTTCAGATGTTTATTAAAAGTGAGCTCTGAGCTCGACTGTCTAATAAAAGCTGAACTGAGCTCCACAGTTTAGAAGCAGAATAACTGAAAGAGTCTCTCCACGTTTTCTGTGTTTTACTGAAGGAGGTCAGAAGGTCAGAATCTGCAGATCTGAGATCATAAACAGACAGACGGTCAGGAGCTTTAAGGTCATTTAGAGCTTTAAAAACCAGCAGCAGAGCTTTAAACTCTCTCCTGAATGAAACAGGCGGTCAGTGCAGCTCTTTTAAAGCAGGACTGATCTGAACTCTCTGTCGTTTTTGTTAAGATGCTGATGCGTTTTGTACGAGTTACAAAGGATGTACTGTTTTCTTAGTTCAGTAAGACGATCATTACAGTGATCAACTCTGACTGGAACACATGCATGAACGAGTTTCCTCTGCGTCGCTCTGAGAGAGAAAAGGCTGAACTTTAGCGATTTTCTCACCTGATAGAAGCTACTTTAGTGACTGCGTAAATCACAAATCAGTGACTCTTCATTAATATAATATTGAGATCTGCTTTATTTCTCTGAGACGATCTTAAGAAAGACATTTTACCTCTGGGAACACACACATGTCAAACACACACACACACACACACACACACACACACTTTCTGAACCGCTTATCCTTCTGGGTCATGGGGTGTGTTGGAGCCTATCCCAGCGCTCGTTGGGCAGAAGGCACGTGTCAGACAGAGTGTTCTAATCATTTTTTATGAGCGTCGCTCTCACTGCTGTTCTGTGAACTGTGGTTCTGTACCTGTAAGCTGACTGACTGTTTTGTGCAGGAGAAGTCGGAGAGGCCGCTGCTGACCCGCTCAGGTCCGAGTGTGGAGAAGCAGGACTGGAGGGAGCGTCTGCTGTGCATTCTAGAGGGAGAGGAGAACGACCTCAGCGACTCAAAGAGAACCATCATGGACTGGACGCACAGCCAGAGGAACCTGCACCCGGTACAACATACGGCTTAACGGGTTCAGCCGGCTTACCGCAAATGGAGCCGATCAGCCAAGACATGTTTGATGGCTGAAGTTTGCCTCTGGAGTGGGGGGTGGGGGGGGGGATGGAGGGGGGTGGGGGTGTGTGTGCTATGTCGTGGGGTCCTATATAGTAATGAAATGGCCGAAAACAGCCATAATTCCTCACTAAACCACTACTTACCAGCCTCTCTTTATCCCTTAGAATTGAACAGGCTGTTCTGATACTGTGCCTTTAAGACTGCTTTATGTTAATTAGCTCTGTTCTGATTGGCTGTGACTCAATCCGAAAGCAGTCCAGGCTAAACTGCTGCAGGCTGAATAGGTGGGTATACACACTTAAGATGGTTCTTCAAGGGTTCTCTAGCAAAGGCAATCATAGGACCATGAGTCCTATATAGAGTCATTTCATGCTTAAATGGTTCTCTGCACGGTGAAATGGTTCTTCAGTTTGATGGAGAATGTGTTGCGTATGGTTCTATATTGCACCAAAAATGTTCTACTGTTGTATACAAGCTTGACATCATAACAGTAGCAGAACCCTTTTGCTGTATAGAATCATTTTCATAAAGGTTCTATATAGAACCCTTGCCTTAACTAAAGGACCCCTGAAGAACCACCTTTTTTAAGTGTGTATGTAAATAAGTCAGTTCTTGTGACGTTCCTCACAAAATGACCATTTAGAATTAAATAGACTTTTTTGTTACTGCACCTTTAAGACTGATATATGTAAATGAGCTCTGTTCTGATTGGCTGTGTCTCATTCAACAAGCAGTCCCGGCTGAAACACTCCTTATAGGGTCAGTATGAGTACTGGGGTTAAACTGCTGCAGGCTGAATAGGATATACACACGTAAAGTTCTTCAAGGGTTCTTTAGTAAAGGCAGTGGTTCTGTTTAAACCATGAGCTCTGTATAGAACTGCGGTTCTTTGCATGGTGAAATGGTTGTTCGGATTGATGGAGAATGTGTTCTGTAAAGCACCAAAAACGGTTCTTTTATTGTGTACAAGCTTGACATCCAAACAGTAGCAGAACCATTTTGGTACCATTCTTCATCAATGTAAGGAACGGTTCCAAATAGAACATTTTGTCTTTACTGAAGGACCCATGAAGAACCTTCCCTTTTAAGTGTGTATGTAAATGTAAATGGGTCGGTTCTTGTGACGTCACAGAAACTGAATGCAGCTTAGTTTGCATATATGGACTGAATGTTTAGAAACGCTCTCTCTCTCTCTCTCTCTCTCTCTCTCTCTCTCTCTCTCTCTCTCTCTCTCTCTCTGTCTCTCTCTTTCTCTCTCTCTCTCTTTCTCTCTCTCTGTCTCTCTCTCTCTTTCTGTCTCTCTTTCTCTCTTTCTCTCTCTCTCTCTCCCTCTGTGTGTCTCTCTTTCTCTCTCTCTCTCTCGTTCTCTCTTTTTCTCTCTCTCTCTCTGTGTCTCTCTCTCTCTCTCTCTTTCTCTCTCTCTCGTTCTCTCTTTTTCTCTCTCTCTGTGTCTCTCTCTCTCTCTCTCTCTCTCTTTCTTTCTCTCTCTCTCTCTCTCTCTTTCTCTCTCTCTCTCTCTGATTAAGTTATTAATCTTGTTATGATCCTCTTGTCTGGCTCTGTTCAGGACAGATGACCTTTCTGACCCACTTGTCCATCTGAAACTACACACACACTAACTCACACTGCTGTTCTCTAACTACAGTACCCAGCATGCAACAGGCAAATATGTCACGCAACTGCTGGGATGCGCAGGTGTTTAAAGATATCCGGCTGTGCAGCAGTAATGATTTAATGTCAGTAATGTTCTCCTTCTGCGTTCACGAAATAAAGGCTTCTTAAACACCCCCAACTCCGCCCCACAGCCCAAACTCCGCCCCACAGCCCAAACTCCGCCCCACAGCCCAAACTCCGCCCCACAGCCCAAACTCTGCCCCACAGCCCAAACTCCGCCCCACAGCCCAATCTCCGCCCCACAGCCCAAACTCCGCCCCACAGCCCAAACTCCACCCCTCAGCAGGTGGAGCTCTACATCTTTAAGAGGCATCATCAGACCGGGGCTTTAAATCAGATTACACTCTGGAGCAGGGGTGCCAAAACTTTGTCTTTTCAGCATAGAGTTTTTAGAAATCTATAAAGCTACACTATAGTTTGTTACTGAACTACTTATAACAGTTAGTTCCGGCCCCGCAAGCTGATTGGTTGAGAACTGTTCGTTTTTTCACAAACACTATCACTCCACTGAGACACTGTTGCTAAGCAACGACTTTGACAGAGCTGTAGGAGACGCTCAAGACATTTGAACATTTTTACTTCTTACTTTGCCACAAACAGAAAACGGACACTTCTTTTAAGATCACATTTGACCGACAGCCGATTTGGTCAGACTCTGAAGATGAGACGACACTAAATTCCCAAACTGTCACCACTGAGCAGCTTTTCAGTCGGCAGCTGAGACAGAAGAACAGCTGAAACAACCTGGAATCAGCCAGAAATGAACCCAACACCATTCGCCAAACTAAATGGGCTGTAAGATGCTTTACAGACTGGCTGGAACAAAACAACATTAATACTGATCTGGCAAAAACTGACAAAACTGAGCTGAACTTGATATTGTGGCAGTTTTATGGCTCAGTCTGATTTGGTCAGACTCTGAAGATCAGACTACACGTTTGGCGAATGGTGTTGGGTTCATTTCTGGCTGATTCCAGGTTGTTTCAGCTGTTCTTCTGTCTCAGCTGCCGACTGAAAAGCTGCTCAGTGGTGATGACAGTTTGGGAATTTAGTGTAAGGAGCTGGAGAACGAACTGCCGGCTGAGCAGCGAGTCATGTTTCTGCCAAAATGTCACTTCCTGTTTTTGGACAAAGGAGGAAAAAAGATTAAATAGGAATAAATCTAACATTTAATAAATCATTTTAATATGATTAGAAATGAGAAACAGTGATTAAAGCACTTTTTCTTCGCTGTTCTGCGCCGGTCAGCACAGACGCATTCAAACTGTTTGGTCAGCAGATCAACAGTGAAAATATTGGCTACAACTGTTTCACAGATTCTGTGAGGAGCATTAAACATTTATACTCACCGTTAATGAACAGCATCACGATGTGCAAGAACACGACTCGATTTGCAGAACGCAGCAAAAGAACAGAGGCAGAAAGACCAACAACCAAAGGATGTTGAGACCGAGACACATTGATGTGGGAACAGACACAAGACGTGAGTCACAATGATATGGAGACAGAGACAAGACAGGGTCAGGAGATGTTGAGACCGAGTCACAATAATATGGAGACTGAGACGAAACTAAGTCACAATAATGTGGAGGTGGAGAGCAGACTGAGTCCAAATGAGGTTGAGAAAGGGACGAGACCGAGTCACAATGATGTAGAGACTGAGACAGAACCGAGTCACAGTAATATGGAGATGGAGAGGAGGCTGAGTCCAAATGATATTTAGACAGGGACGAGACCGAGTCACAACGATGTAGAGACCGAGATGAAACCGAGTTAAAGTAATGTGGAGACAAAGACGAGACTGAGTCACAGTGATGTTTAGACCAAGTTGAGCCAGAGTCAGAATGATGTAGAGACAGAGATGAAGGTGAGATCAAATGATGTTGAGACCGAGTCAGAATAATGTGGGGACAGAGACTGGACTACATGAGGCACCACTGTAGGAGGACAGGACGTATGTTTACCACAGATGTAGTGATGAATACATTTTTTATTCTCTCTCTCTCTCTCTCTCTCTCTCTCTCTGTCTCTCTCTCTGTCTGTCTGTTTGTCTCTCTCTCTCTTTCTCTCTCTCTCTCTCTCTCTCTCTCTTTCTTTCTTTCTTTCTTTCTTTCTCTTTCTCTCTCTCTCTCTCTCTCTCTCTCTCTCTCTCTCTCTCTCTCTCAGCATGGTATCTGGTCAGGCGAGCCTGTGCTGCTGATGCTGGACGATCTGGAGCTGCAGTGGAAGAGGGGTCGACTGCGCCACCTGCAGGCCGCCATGGAGCTGCTGATATGGGTTGCACTGGGAGAACATCTGGACAAGGTCAGTGCAGTGTTTAATGTTCCGTCTGATCCTGACACACAGGACTGGACTTACTCTGAGAAACTTCCATGAGACTAGTTGCATGTTGTGAGCGGTGCAACTTGACAGATTCATGAAACAATTAAACAACAATAAAACAAATTCAGTTGCTCCACTCGCCGCCACAGAACAGCTCTTTTTTATACCGCGTGTATGATATCGTTTACATCAGTATGTCAGCACTTTTAATGTCTTTGTTAAGACTTTCAAGCTGTCATATTTGAGTGTTTATGTGTTGTGTATGTTAAACCTTTGAAAGTTTATGCTTATGTTTATGGTCTGTTGATAAGGGAAATCATCTATATGATCAATAAATCTAATATTTCTCCTGTTGAGATTGTTGTAAGCTTAATTTAAGATTATTTAACTTATTTCTACACATTTTTTTACTAGTTTTAAGTAATTTTATTGAGTAAAATTATCTCACTATGTTGGCAGATAATTGTTGTAAGAAATGAGCTTAAAACCAGTAAAATTATCGGCCAGTATAGTGATAATTTTACTCAATTAATGACCTAAAACAGGTAAAAATGCCTAAATAAGACCAACCATCTCAAAATGGGAAATATATTTCGACTAGATTTAAGATCATTTTATTTGCTAAAATGTCTTTGCAGTGGATTAATTCACTGTAACATTAAGTGTGATTGTGATGCGTTGTCTGCATTTTCATCGGCTGTTTCATTAAACTTGTTTCATGAAGTTGCTTGCAATTGTTGCAAGTGAGTTTCAGATTGTCAGTGTCAGAACGCTTTACATTAGTGTTTATGTCTGATTGGCAGGAGCTCGTTCCGAGGCTGTGGCTCGTTCAGAAGCAGAAGAGCCAGAACGTCGGTAAGTGACGTTACGCTGTTCTATGTTCCGAGACTAAAACCGGTCAGTCCGTGTGAATGACCCGCTTTAGAGCTCTAAATATCGTAGAACTGTAGGGATCCTTCAGAGCTTTAGCCTTAGTCCGGTTGGCCACAGTACACTCTTCAAGGGTTCTTTAGGAAAGGGAATGGTTCTGTTCAGAACCATAAGTTCTATACAGAAGCATTTCATGCTGAATTGGTTCTTTGCATGGTGAAATGGTTCTTCAGATTGATGGAGAACGTTATATCTGTGTTGTATATGTAGGTCATTCAATAAAAACATCTGCTGGACATGTAGGTGTTATGAATCTATTGTTTGTCTAGATATTATCTGCTTTGCTGAATGAGTTTATTTTCTCTTTCTCTCACTCACTCACTCACTCTCTCTCTCTCTCTCTCTCTCTCTCTCTCTCTCTCTCTCTCTCTCTCTCTGTCTCTCTCCAGGTGCTACTCGTTACATTCCACACACAGGTAGGTAACTAATCACAGACTGCAGGCCACGCCCCCTTTTAAACTCTTAAATTTTGTAATATCAGTGTTTTTGTTTGATGAATTTATGTTGTTATGTTGTTTTTCAGTGTGGAACTGGATTTGCCACGCTGCAGGTACGCCGTCCACCCACACACCTCTACAGTATACTTACAGAACATTGTGTGTATATATATATATATATATATATATATATATATATATATATATATATATATATATATATATATATATATATATATACGCAGATCAGGCATAACATTCTGACCACCTCCTTGTTTCTACACTCACTGTCCATTTTATCAGCTCCACTTACTATATAGGTGCACTTTGTAGTTCTGTAGTGCTTTACTTTTGTTCCTCGACAGTGGAGGTGACCCTCGACCCCGACACGGCTCACCCAGCCCTGCTGGTCTCGGACGACGGGAAGAGGATGCGCTGCATTCCGGATGTGCTGGACGTCCCGCGGCGTCGCCAGCGTTTCGACGGCTGGCTCTGCGCTGTGGGCACTGAGGGTTTCTCCTGCGGGAGGCGCTACTGGGAGGTGGAAGTGGGCGACCGAGACTGGAGACTTGGAGTGGCCAGAGAATCGGCCTTGAGGAGAGGATACGGCTCCCTGAACACGCACAGCGGCTACTACACTCTGAGGCTGGAGAGAGGGACCGAGCTGAAGGCCTTGACCGTACCGGTCACTCCGCTGACCGCTGCGCCGATGCCCAGGTGGGTAGGCGTGTACCTGGACTACGAGGAAGGTCAGCTGTCCTTCTATGACATCCAGAGGCGGAGTCACATCTACACGTTCTGCGAAAGGTTCACCGAAACGCTTTTCCCCGTCTTCGGCACGGCGGAGATGGTCAGAGACATGGTGGTCAGACCGGCCGGCCTACGGTGGCCCTGCTTCTGTAACGGACCCTGCTTGTTCGGCTGACTTAAACACAAACATGCGTAAATCCACTATAGTCCTCCTTTCTGATGATCTCAGCTGAAAGTCGTCATTTTGCTCAGTAGATAATGTGGAAAACTAGGCTTGAATCTTCAGCAGCACTGATTCAGCATAGCAGGACGTTATAACACCCTTACAACACCCTTATTAAGCCTTAATACACTGGTAATTAAGTGGCTGTTCATACTGCAACAATGATATCTTGGCGAGTGTAAACTTCTTAAATGTAGTTAACAAATCTGATATTTCTCATTATGAGACTGTTGTAAGAAGATTTTCCCACCTGTTTCTGTACATGTTCACTTGTTTTAAGTGATTTTATCTGGTGAAAGTGTTTTATTCCATCGGTAGATTAGTTTACTTGATTGGGGAAATAATGAAAATAATTTTGCTCATTTCAAGAAGTGATGCTTATAACAAGTAACATGACCTGCCAGCGGAGTAAAACACTTTTATGAGATAAAACTGCTTAAAAACAAGCAAAATGTCTAGAAATAAGTTGAAGAATCTTATGAAACTGTTGTAAGAATATTATAATGAGAAATGTCAGACATATTGACTACATTTAATATGTTTACACTCGTCATCATTTTTTGCAGTGCATTGCTACTTTATTCATTTTGGTCATTATTATGGATCGTACAGTACATATTTGGCAGCTAGATATTTACCATTATGAACATTTTTGTAAATTTAACAATGAACAATCAGAAGGTATTTTCAGATTTTCAGCAGCCCATAAAATGGCAAACATGCATCTCTGCATCTTCTGAGTTTGTGAGTTAAACACACATTAACCCAAATATAAATCCCCGGAATGTAAGCGCCAATATTTCAGAAGTTATGATGACTTAAAAAGTTTGAACCTTTTTCTTTTGCACTCATTTTAATACATTTTTCTGCATAATTAAGTGGATAATATGTAATCAGAGTGGTTCAGAGCGGTTCAGGGTGGTTCAGAGTGGTTCAGAGTGGTTCAGAGTGGTTCAGAGCGGTTCAGAGCGGTTCAGAGTGGTTCAGAGCGGTTCAGGGTGGTTCAGGGTGGTTTGGTGTGAAACGCTCTGTTCTAGATAAACTTACCGAGTCAGAACTGTTCACAGTGGTGGTGATAGGAACCAGACGTCCACCTCTAAAAGCTCCCTCACAGAAAGTTCCTACATGAAATGGTTATGAATTCACTGCCTGATGACTGAGACACTGTTTTATGATCGTTTAGAGAACTTAAACTCCATTCATGGTGGAGGGAGACATGCAGGGCACTGTGAGGCAAAATAGTCCCCAAAGAAAACTTATTATTTCAGATTTTCCACTATTTTCATCATCAACATTCCATACAGACTCAGAAGACTCGTGTAGGTTCACTGGTGGTTCTGAATAGTAAATAAAATGTCTATATTTGTGTTGTAGTCATGGCGACCCCTGGTTCCTGGGAAAAATTAAAGCCACACCCACTTTTAACCAGCTATCCTCCAGGGTATATTTTGGTTTTTCCATCTGAATTTACATGAGAAAATCGTAAGGCAAATTGTTCAGTAACTGCGTGAAATAAATATTTTTATATAAGTTATAAATAAATAAAAAATAAATAGGTTTTGTTGGTTTTTTTTTGTAAAAGTTTCAAATGAACAGAAAATGTGTTTTATGATCATAAACATAAAGCCATATGCTTACAATTTACTGCTGAAAGCCAAAAAAAGATGCTCTTTATATTTTATTATAAAAATATTTTCTTTTACAGAGCAGATCAATGAAGAGACGCCGTCTGAGATCCAGTTTATAGTTCAGATTTGTGAAAAATGGGTCGACTTTCAGTAGAAAAAAAAAAATTGTGAGTTCAGCTTCTTTTATTATAAGGGTTTAAAATTACATCACCATCTATTTGACTGGAGAGAAGACAGTTACAGCCTCATACGACCCCCACCTTTAGAATGTAGCTTATGAAATATGAACGTTATGAAGTAAAGAATATAATGAAGTGCGTTTTAAAGGCCTCTGTATCTCAGAAATTAATGAAAGTTCAAGCTTTAATTTTGTACACATTATCTTCTGGGCACAATAACACTGTTTACTGAAATCAGCATCTCTCACACAAAGCATGGCGTTTATCTCGCACTTCTACTGATTTACCAGCACACTGATTAAACAGGCCGCCTCTCCAAGTCTGGGGTCACTTTGACCTTTTTTGAGTTATTTTTGTTGTCGCGTCTGACTGACAGTGTAAAAGTAGCTCAGTGAGGCCAAAAGACAAAGAACTGAAAACCTCACATTTTTCTTTTGCCCAACTGGACGGGAAAAATTGCGAAACACAGAAACTTCTAGGGCTGGGCGATTAATCGAAAACCGACATTCCCACGTAATCCTGCCTGTGTCGGTTATTCCAATTTGTTAAAAATTCTGTTAATCCTTTCCCCGCTCTGTGTGTTCATGCACTTAAAACACTTTCTACCGTGTGCGTATCACGTGACGCCGCCACGTCCAGTCTGCAACGCGGAAGCTAAGGCTGTGTTCACACAGCAGGTAAAAGTCTGATTTTTTGTTTGTCTGTTCAGATTATCTTTCAAATGTGAACTGTATGAACATCAGTCTGAACAGATCCGCTCCTAAACCGTCCCACAGAAGAACAGAGCGTCACGCTGCTTCACGGCTCATCCAGAGGGAAACAATCACGACCGCCAACGAACGCCAGTCGCTCCCGGAGGATCAGCTTCATCTTCACCAGCATCACAGGAGCCATCATGAAGCTTCACTGACTGACAGCTGGGCTCATCACCCAGAATGTGTTCGAGCCGTAAAAAGGGCGCGGTCACTTCTTTGGTTCGCGTCCTCGGATTCTTTAAACTCTGCTTTCAGTCTTTTACCTGTTCTTTGACGCTGCAGCCTCGTTCTCCTGCGGCCGCGTTCGGACATTCTTTAGACATCTCTTCAAACACGGAGGGTTTTGGATCAGTCTCTTCTAATCTTTGTACAGAAACATCAGCCCAGATGTTTATGAGTCTCAGCAGCGCGAAATTATGACGAATGTGGAGCTGCTTTGACGTAAAAGTCATGTGAATTCTGATCTGGCTGTTGAGACGATTTACATTAAGGTATGTGGAGCATATTTACAGTACAGACCTTTTCAGTGAACTATGAGGGCAAAAAACAAATAAAAACCAAAAAAAATCGTTCATTAATCGTAATCGAGGTAAAACATCCAGCGAATCGTGATATTGTTTTTAGTCCATATCGCCCAGCTCTAGAAACTTCCCGCTGCTGCTAAAAGCTGTTTAGTTTCCGTTGTTCTTCTGACAGTCACAGCTCCGTCCTCAGCCAGCAGGTTCTTCAAGGTTCTTTAGTAAGACAGTGGTGAACACTCAAAGAACTTAGTGATTTAAGTGATTTAAAATGGTTCTCTGCATGGTGAAACGGGTCTTCAGATTGATGGAGAATGTGTTGTATATGGTTCTATATAGCACCAAAAAGAGTTCTGCTAGTGTTAACAATAATAGAACCCTTTTGGTGCTATTTAGAACCATTCTCAAAAAGGTTCTATGAACCATTTACAACACCATCAATCTGAAGACCCGTTTCACCATGCAGAGAACCAGTTAAACATTTAAATGGTTCTTTGAGTGTTCATGGTTCTATATCGCACCATTGTGTTTACTAAAGAACCCTTGAAGAACCATCTTTTTTTAAGAGTGCATAAACTTGGCTTTCTGCCATCGCATTGTGAATGTTTGTAGTGTGGCCTGAATATTTTCCTAAAATTTCGCTGAAGCACTGCAAAAATGGCATCTTGGCAAGTTAAATGACCGTTTAATCCACTCGATACATCTGATATTTATGTTGAGATTTTTGTCAGATTACGATTTTTTAAATTTCATTTCTAGGCTTTTCTAACTTCACTTAACCAGCTATTCTCCAGGGTATATTTTGGTTTTAACATCTGAATTTACATGACCAAATCATAAGGCAAATTATTCAGTAACTGTGTGAAATAACTGTAAAGTGTTTTTGTGGTTTCCCTCAAATTAACAGAACATGTGTTTTATGATCATAAACATAAAGCCATATGCTTACAATTCACTGCTGAAACCCGAAAAAAGACGCTCTTTGTATTTTTTATAGAAGTAATTTGTACAGAGCAGATCACTGAAGAGACGCCATCTGTTTACAGTTTATAGCCCAGATTTGTGAAAAATGGGTCGACTTTCAGTAGAAAAAAAAAACAGTTCAGCTTCTTTTATTATAAGGGTTTAAAATTTGAAAGAAGACAGTTACAGCTCTCATACGACCCCCACCTTTATAATGTAGCTTATGAAATATGAAAGTTATGAAGTAAAGAATATGACTTTTGGCATTTGGCATGGCATTTTGGAACCACCAGTGGTTCCAGAGTTAAAGAGGCTGTTACATCACTTAACGCTTCAAACGAGTTAAAATTGTCTAGAAATGAGTTAAAAATAATCCTGTAATCTCCTTTCCACAATCTCAGCGTGAGAAATGTTAAATATTTCAACTGGATTTAAGATTATTTCACTTTCAAGATGCCATTTTTGCAGTGTTTTAGTAACTAAAGAAAGAAACCGACTGATAAGGCTTTAGCTAAAGCTAAAGCTTAAACCGGAGTCAGTTTAAAGGGAGTTTGGACACTTCTTGTTTCTGTTATTATATTTTCAAAATATGACTACAAAACACCAGAGGGCGCCCCTGATTTAGTGAGTCCTAAATGAATGGAGGTGAATGGAGCGAAAAAGCTAAAAAACAAAAAAATTAAACTTGTTTCCTGTTGTTTATGCAGGAATTCAGCATGTTTTCCATTAAAAACAAAATTAACCAGTATATTTGTTTTACTTCGCCAAACAGGTTAACTAACATTACTGCTGCTGAGCGCTGATTGGTTAGCATTACTGTTAGCATTACCCTCTAGCGCCAGACTAACCTGGAAGACATTGTTTAACAGGTGCTCCTTGAGAAAAATGGAAGCATATAAACTGCTTTTTATACTGAATATGATCAGTTATTGCAAACCAGAAAACATGCTCAGCTGTACTAAAATCATTCTGAATTATGAGGTGTCCCCAAACCTTTAGCGGCCAGTGTAGACACACATATAAGTAGTGAAGCTGTAGATGGGAAAGTATTTATTTATTTTAGCTTTTGTTTATGTAGAAATCTCAGAAAACACTGCTGAGGCTGGTTAAACCTGCACATGCTGTCTTGCTTGTTCCTGTTTGGATTTGCTTTAGTTAATGGAACCAGTAAACGCCGAACTGGGCTAAATTCAGTCATATTAAATAAGCTTTGTTTGTATTGTAACTTGTTTTTTTAATGCATTGTTTGTTTTTAATGCAACTCACACAGTTGTTTAGTATATAACACAAACAAATCAGTGTTCTTATCTGCATACGTTTAATATTCTGTACGTATAATGAAGCGCTGCAGTATTTCAGTACTTTGCTTGCATTTTGGTCTCTCTTTAATAAAAAACTCACACACAGCTGTTTTCTTCCATTTTATTACACTTTAAATGTAAAAGTTGACGTTTAATAGAAATTCTTTCGCTGATATTGAATTGTAAGAGGATATGATGGACGATATTTTAAGTAAGGTAAAAATATAAAAAATACTAACAATGTAATACTTAAGCGAGATATTAATGAAAAATAAAGATAGTAAAACTTCTCCAAAGTGGCAGAAGCAAATTTATCCCAGCAAACGTTCGTATACTGTCTGAATCAGAGCAACAGCCGCTCAACTGGAGCCAAACGTCAGTAACATATTTACAAAATAAACTGATTTATGTGTTGCCGTGTTAGAAAAGAGACTGAAATGGCGTGACGTATGATATTTGATGTAACCAGACAAATAAACACTTTATTTGAAGGGAGCTCATTACACATGCATGATAATTGAATAACATATTCAAAAAGCAAAGCAATACTTTACCACTTATAAACAGCCTATGTCAGTATTTGTGATGATGTATCAGATGATGAGGCGTTTTATGATCCTGTGTTGATAAACAGGCCCTAAAACTGAACTCTTGTTCCATTTGTAACACTGTTATTAAACATCTTTCCAAAGTAATGAACACCTTATATCACCTCTACGAAACATGACTTAAAGTAGAATCTTCTGCCTTTTAAGCTCCATTATGTGGCTTCATAACTGTGTATTAAATGGAACAAATGTCCAGCACTTTTATAATATAATTAATATACAATTTACTTTATTTCATAAAATATTGTCATCTTGTGAAAACTGACATACTTGTGTTGCTTTGTAAACATGTTAATATGCATGTGTTATGAGCTCCTATGTAGCCTTCAGATGAAGTGTTACACAATAAATCACCAAAAACAAACATTTAAAAATATATATATTCAGAGTTGAAGTGGAAAATTAAGTATTACCCTAAACTAATACAGTCCTGTACATCACACAGTGAAGCGTAAATGGTTTTGGCACAATTTGAACAGAGGGAGTGTGTATATATATATATATATATATATATATGTGTGTGTGTGTATATAAAGGCAAATACTTGTTTGTTTACATTCAACAAAACACTTCTAATGTGGATGTTTTTACAGTTGAACACAGAGGTTTGAATTGCTGCTCCTTTCTTTCCATAAATATATCACTGCTGTCAGAACTAAACTCATATCTCCAAAATGGAAACTTTACAGGGGAAGGAAAAATCTTTGAATGGAAGTCAATGTAAACATACTTATTTCCATGTAATTTTGGACCACTTGCATTGGTCCATTCATCATGAAACTCACACAGTGTAAGAGTAAAGGGAATTTTTGAATTACGCTGAAAATGAAAAACAAAAGTGGAGATACGAGGTTTTGATCTGACAGTGAAGTTTTTGGACACCACACATGAATCATATGTGGTCTTATCATTAATCTATTCAGTAATACAGGTTTCAACTGCTGCACTGTTTCAAGTTTCAAATTAAAACTAATTTCGCAGTTTGGTGGAAAAGAGTTACGAGGCTAATGTAGCTAACTAGTGATGGTAGCTTATACCCCACCAATTAGCATGGTGCTAACTGCACACCTAAAGCATTACTCGCTGGCCTCAAACCGTGTGGAGCTGTTCATCTAACACTTTACTGCAGGACTGAGCTCATGATGTCGTCATGACAACTGACAAACATAAACAGCAACATTTATAAAGGCTTATTTCTCCAGGTGTCATCAGTCATAAAGGTTACATCTGCCTATTTAATCTCTAATAAACAATGTGTTTTTTCACACTGTACACTCTTAAATGGGTTCTTCAGTAAAGGGAATAGAACCATGAGTTCTATATATAACCATTTGCATGGTAAAATGGTTCTTCAGACTGATGGAGAACGTGCTGTAAATGGTTCTAAATGGCAGTAAAAAGGGTTCTGCTGTTGTTATGATGTCAAGCTTTTTGGTGCTACAAAGAACCATTTAAACAGGAAAGGGAATGATTCTATACAGAACCATGAACACTCAAAGATCCATGTCATCCTTAAATGGTTCTTTGCATGGTGAAATGGTTCTTGGAGAACGTGACGTGTGAGGTTCGTTATTGCACCAAATATACAGCAGAACTCTTTTTCGCGCCACATAGAACTGAACAGAATCATTCCCTTTACTAAAGAACCCTTGAAGAACCATCTGTGTCAAGAGTGTATGGCACACTGTTATCTACCTTTGGGGTAAAAGGTGGGGTAAAAGGTGAGGGGGGTGCGTTTGGGGGGTTGGATTTTGCCCCAAACTGTGGCGTTAAAGCTGCTGTGGCGGCAGGTCTGGGTCTGGGGTCAGACTGTGGGCCTGTTTACGGGAGAATGTCTGTTAGATTAGTGAAATCAGGCTTCGTAGTACTGCTTCTCCACCCTCTTGGTTACGCTGGACGTCACTCCTCGCTGGACCATCTCCACCTGCCGGGTCACGCTGCCGCTCATCTCCATGTGCTGCGTGATCTGTCTGCTGGACATCATCATACCATCTGAAACGGACACAAACATGAGCGACAAACATGAGCGACATTCAGGAGACGAGACGTCTTAAACTAATGTAAACTCAAAAGGCCATTTTAGTGCAGATTCAGTGACGGTTTTCAGTTCTACACTCAAAACACCTTTATAAACTAAATTCAATCATGCTACACATTTTAATTCAAACAGAGTAAATATACACATATTTTATTACACCAATTTATACAACAGTGAGTTTCGGCCACGCGAGCTGATTGGTTGAGCAGCGTTCTAACTGTGTTGTTATTTCACCATAACATCACAGGTTTTCACGAACACTGTATCACTCCGCTGAGACGCGTTGCTAAGTAACGACTTTGACAGCTGTAGGAGACGCTCAAGACGTCATCAACGTTTTACTTCTTACTTTGCCACAAACAGAAAACGGACAATTTTAAGATCACATTTGACCGACAGCCGATTTGGTCAGACTCTGAAGATGAGACGACACTAAATTCCCAAACTGTCACCACTGAGCAGCTTTTCAGTCGGCAGCTGAGACAGAAGAACAGCTGAACAACCTGGAATCAGCCAGAAATGAACCCAACACCATTCGCCAAACGTGTAGTCTGATCTTCAGAGTCTGACCAAATCAGACTGAGCCATAAAACTGCCGCAATATCAAGTTCAGCTCAGTTTTGTCAGTTTTTGCCAGATCAGTATTAATGTTGTTTTGTTCCAGCCAGTCTGTAAAGCATCTTACAGCCCATTTAGTTTGGCGAATGGTGTTGGGTTCATTTCTGGCTGATTCCAGGTTGTTTAGGTTCTTCTGTCACAGCTGCCGACTGAAAAGCTGCTCAGTGGTGATGACAGTTTGGGAATTACGTGTGAGGAGCTGGAGAACGAACTGCCGGCTGAGCAGCGAGTGGGCGGAGCTCGTTACTCACTGAAACAGTCACTACTGAAACATTTGGTACGGTTTGGTAGAGTTATGATTGCTTTGGTAGAGACAAAATTGAATGTTCCGTCATTAGTTTTAATAAAATAAATATAATTAAGGTTTAGGGCCCCTCAGAGCAAAAGGATTTAAGCCCAAGTTAAAAGTCCTTATAATCCTATAACTCAGATAAGAGTATGTATATAACCCATCATATGTGATCATGACTTTCACAGGGAGTTTGGATCTTACTGCTGAGTGATGTTCCATATGGTCTCTGTGGTTCTGTGTACGTACCTGATGTGACGAAGGGTTCTGAGAACATGGTGTGGCTGGTATGTGTGCTGGTCTGTGTGGGCAGGTTAAACACTTCTCTCCTCATCAAAGACGAGCTGCTGTACTGACCCATAGATCCTGATACAGACAGAAAAAAGAAAACTGAAAACGACCTACAGAAGCGGTAAATTGTGTTGCACTGAATACGAGGAGACAAAATCGGCTTCATCCCAATGTTTTTATCACCCTCAGTAATTCAGTAACATTAGTTTGATCGCAGAACCTGAACAAGATCACGTGATCTCGACCAACTGAACAGTTTCCAGTTATCATCACCGACATCCAGTGAGAGCAACAGTGTCTGCATGTTCAACCAATGAGTGTCTGTATCATACATATCATATACAGTCAGTGAGCATATATATCATATGTATCGTACAATCAGTGAGTGTCTATATCATATATTTCATATGAACAATGAGTGTGTATCTCATATAATTCACATACAGTTAGTGAGCATATATTTACGTCATATATACAGTCAGTGTATATATCATGTATATCATATGTACAGTCAATGAGTGCCTATCAAATATATCATATATACAGTAAATGAGTGTTCATATCATATATAGTCAATGAGTGTATATATCATATGTATCATATATCCAAAAAGTGAGTGTGTATATATCATATATATCATATATCTAGTCAGTGAGCATGTATATCATACATCATATATATAGTAAATGAGTGTTTATATCATATATGCAGTCAACAAATATATATATATATATATATATAGTCAGTAAGTGTATATATCATATATATCATACATACAGTAATGAGTGTGTTATATTTATTATATATAGCCAATGAGTGTATATATCATATAAATCATATATACAGTCAGTCTCATATGTGAGTGCTGTCCAGCGTAGTATCTCTGTATAAGCTGTATTTGAATGAGAGCTCTATGATCACAGATTCTATCAGAGCAGCATATAGAGCTGCAGCTGGGCTTCAGCCTGAACTACAGTGAACCAGGCGGCAATAATAATTTATTACATTGACTTGTTTACACGTTAACTGTGACCCCCTAATGGATGTTTGGAATCACCTGTCATATTTACAGTTTCTGCTGTTTTCCATACAGTAATAGTTTGTACCGTGTAGATTAGTGTACGGTGAATTCGGGGTGTTTGTACCTCCGTCCTGAGACTCGATGGTGATGATGCCCTCCCTCTCCGGCCCGAAGCCCTGCGTGGTCTGTGCTTGAACTTTAAACTTGTACGGCACGTTCTCACTGAGGTCAGACACGGTCAGCGAGGTGGCCGCGTTACCGTTGACCTGGAAGGAGCGCGTATCTCCTGCAGGAACAACAGGAATGCAGAGAAACCGTTACATATCAGACATTTTGACTTATTTCAACATTTAGACTTTTTATTTCAAAACATGTTTTCCTGAATTGTCAACTTATTGTGCTGAAATAATAGTTTTCTTAAGATTTTTACTCATTTTCTTTACCTGTACTCTCCCAAAAAGATGGTTCTTCAGTGGTACTTCAGTAAAGACCATAGGTTTTATAGAACTATGAACACTCAAAGAACGTGATGGTTCTTCAGATTGATGGAGAATGTGTTGTATATGGTTCTATAAAGCACCAAAAAGGGTTCTGCTATTGTATACAGGTTTGACATCATAACAGTAGAAGTACCCTTTTGGTGCTGTATAGAACCATATACAACACATTCTCACAAAACTGAATAACTTATTTGCCATAATAAGTCAAAATGTCATCATAAGTACAAATTTAAAGATAAAAGTAATTATTTTCACCCTCCTAGCATTCGCAGTATCGTGTGAATGGGGGAGACCCAGCTAGTGGGTGGAATTGTACGTGACTATATTTAAGACATTTGAGAAAAAATTGGGGTGGAATTATTTCAACATAGGAGAGATTTTAAAGATAAAATCCTGATAAAACTGAGAAGATAAGACATAATTTTAACATCATTATTTTAAGATCAAATCCAAACTTTTGGCATAATAAAGCGAGCAATGTTGATAAACTGCTGCCAGAAACAGAGAGGAGACTTTTCCTCGTCTGTCTGGTGGAAGCTTTCATAAAGGAGTTCAGGTAACTACTACAGGTAGGTAGGTATAAACAAGCAATGATTGAGATTAATAACTAATAATTAGTTATTAACTAAGTAATAATATATAATAAGTGAGCAGTTAAAGGGGATCATTTTTAGCAGTGTAATCAGCTGATCGCTGATTAAAGGTGAAGACAAACACAAAAGTAGGATAATGACCTCCGCCATGCAGCTGTTCACAGGTGACCACGTAGCCCAGGATCTCTCCGTTGGGTTTGCGTGGTTTGTCCCAGCTCAGCTGCAGAGTCTCCGGGCTCAGAGCCGTGAAGACGAGCGGACCTGGAGCGCTGGGCGTGCTCAGAGTGAACGAGGAGCCTGAAAACACAAACAGATACACTTTTAACATCACATCATCATCTACACCTTCTCAGCCTGAGACTAACGGAGGATCATTCAGCCTATTTCACTATTTTAAGTGGGAATTCCATCATTTTTACAAAAAGAGTGGTTTGGTGTGAAACGCTCTGTTCTAGATAAACTTACCGAGTCAGAACTGTTCACAGTGGTGGTGATAGGAACCAGACGTCCACCTCTAAAAGCTCCCTCACAGAAAGTTCCTACATGAAATGGTTATGAATTCACTGCCTGATGACTGAGACACTGTTTTATGATAGTTTAGAGAACTTAAACTCCATTCATGGTGGAGGGATACATGCAGGGCGCTGTGAGGCAAAATAGTCCCCAAAGAAAACGTATTATTTCAGATTTTCCACTATTTTCCATCATCAACATTCCATATAGACTCAGAAGACTCGTGTAGGTTCACTGGTGGTTCTGGATAGTAAATAAAATGTCTATATTGGTGTTGTAGTCATGGCAACCCCTGGTTCCTATCACCACCACTGTAAAGACATCTGAACCATTTCACACCAAACCACTCTGAATGGCTCTGTTCAGTGAACTGAGTGTTGCTAGTTTGACAGGATCTCTATCAGAGAACAATTCGTCTAATTGTCATTAGTGGAACTTCACTGCCCCCTACAGTTGATTAGACATTATGACATGAAGACTGTCCCCACCTGGTACGGGGCTGAGGGGGCTCTTGGGGTCCACGGTGGACTCGATGGTGATGACTCCCTCTCTCTCGGGCCCCCAGCCCTCCTGACTCTGAGCTTTCACCTTGAACAGGTAAGACTGGTTGGGCAGCAGGTCCTGCACCACCACGGAGTTCTGCGCGGGGTTCGTGATGTCCATACGCTTCATCTCACCTGCGGAGACCATTCCAAACATATTAAAGCGTTAGTTCAGTCAAACTAATGGAGGAGACTAGGGAATTAGCATTAGCATCAATGTCATCATTTCAGCTCTCTTTAATCATCGTGTTTTTCTAGGAATAGATATTGTGAACAAACTCATTCATTCATTTTTAAAGGAGGATGAGGAGCATCTTCATATAAAAGTCTCTTTTACAGCTCAGTGCTGTGAGACATGCATACAGTAAATATCCAATAAAATGGAAATAAAAGAATATTATTATTAAGAACATGTTTAAAACAATACAACTTAAAAATGTCTAAAGCAAATTAAGCAAATAAAACTAGTAAAACCAGGCAGGAGTTATATAATTATAAAAAATCTCAGTAACACTTTACTTGAAGGGTGTCTACATAAACACTCCACAACAGGCTTATGAATGTTTAAATCAACATTACATGTTTGACATGACATTAATATGGACTGAGTCATCTGATGTATTTTCAAAATAAAAGTCCTCATTTTTTATTCTGAAAAACTATATTGTCGGTGAAACTCCTCATTTCTGGACAGCCAAAATAAAAATGGCTTTGGCCCTTTGAACAGAAGCTGCTTTGACACTGACTTCTTGCCTAGACTTTCAGCTTCCTTTTAATTATTGTGTTTTTTTTGTTGTAAGTAGTTCATATGTTTGTTTGTATGTATTATGTTTTTTATTCTTTCCCCTTTTTTATCTTTGTCTTCTTTAAAATTTGAACAGTCCTAGCATTTAAAGGAGAGAATGTGTAACTTATTCCCACCCAGAAAATCAACAAAAACATGGAATTTGACCAAACGTTTGCTCTACGTCTGAAAACTAAAAGGCAAGTCTGACAAGATCCACTAGCCTTTCATACAGGAGATCTGAAACTTTATCACATTGTCTGACTATAGTAATGGATATGAATCCTCTGACTAATAAATAAATAAACAAGCGTAGCGTAAGGGTTCAGACTATCAATGCACAATCAAGCAGAATCATAACGCTGTTGTCTCCATTTTTTCAGTTTTTGACATAATCTGAAAATACCAGTTGCCCTTTATATTGTATGTAAATTTCATTATGACTGGACTAAAACAAAATGACCTAAAATGACTTGTAAAAAGGTCTGGTTCCATTGACTTACATTAAAGGTAAAGTTTGTTTTTTCCTTCTCCTGTAAAGTTACCATTTTGGAGATACGAGGTTTTGTTCTGATAACAGCGATAAATAAGATGTGTAGCACTTCTACTGCTACTATGTCTCATTGAAGTCATCTGAAACGTAACCCGAATCATTTTTAAGGTGGTACAGAAGTGGAACCGAGCTGTACTGACCTCCGTTGAGGAGCTGGTAGAGGACACAGTATCCCAGCACAGGGTTCTCACAGTGGGGCTCCTGCCAGCTGACCTTCAGCGCTGTCGGGCCCAGGGCCGAGAACACCAGCCTGCTCGGGGTTTCTGGGACGCCGCGGGTCAGTCGAGAATCTACAGGTACCGACAACAATCAGAGTCAGAGGAACATCAACATTTAAGTTCTGAGGTGGCAGCAGAATCACTCACTGAGGCACGGCTACTGAAGGGGTGGGCGATACGACAATATGATCTCGATAACACAATAAATCAGAATTTATGGTGTAGTGAAATGTTTTGTTTAGCATGTTGCATGTTAGTTTTTCAGATTTCTGTACTAAAGTAGGTTTGAGCTGAAAACATGCTAAGAATCTAAAGAAAATTCCTGTAAACGTTTACTTTAACTGCATAGGGGCTTTGTTGGAACGTTATGAGGTCAGCAAAGATGTCCTTTATACCATCTGTGGACTCTACAAAATAATGCCCTTACAAATATGAAACAAATTCAAAATCAAAACTGCATTAAACGTGACAATTTTTGTATCATTACAACCCCAAAAAAGGGAGTTTATTAATTATTTTATCAACTAGTAAAAAATCTCTAAAAGCTGCAACTTTGGTGAGACTGTCATTTTGTGACTGAACAAGCACAGCAGCAGTGAATACAATATAACAGCCGCATAACTATGAAGATTTAATCGAAATACAACAGTTTCACTGCATTACTTAATGCAAACTAGAGCCAAGTTACCTAATGTTCTCCAAAAAAAGCTTCTACACTCGTCACACTTTTCCGACGGAGAAATGATCTCTTTGGATTTAAGATCGCACTGCATTGTGAATGTATGGTAAATGTAGTCTGTTTTGGAGTAATGCAGTAAAAACTGTATTTCTGTGTTTTACTGTCAAATATAACTGAGTATGGGGACAACACAGTACATAATGCTGTAAAACCTGTAATGTGCTGCACCTCCAACTCAGTCAACTTGCATTCTTAATTGAAAAACAGCAGGGGGCACTCTGACCACATTCCTTGCCCATAGTTTCACCCTATTCACTTATTCTGAGATTCCAACAGAGCATAACTTGTTTAATTTGATGTAGTGATCTGCAGTAAGTGAAACATTATATATTATACAGCAACTCATTTTCTTGGGTACTAATTTTGTTAAATTAAATATTCATCTTGATTTTTAGGCCACTAAAACATCTTGTTCATGAAGGTTTTGAAGAAAAGTGAAGGTCAGGGATTCAGAAACATCACTAGGTTCTTATAATTCCTTAGCACACATTTTCAACCAATCCAGAGGGTTTCTGACAGCTCATTCAGACTCCACACTTTGGATTGGTTGGTTCTAGGTACACTCACCCTGGAGAACCCTGTCCAGGTTCTGCAGAGCATCGTTGATGTCTTCTGCATGATTGCGAACGTTGGAGCTCAGGCTGTAGCTGGTAGTTGTACTCTGGCTGAAGCTAGAGTTGCCTGAAAGAGCGCCACCGCAGGCCATGGCAGGGAAGTGCAACGCAGGGCGGGGCAGGACAGGGCAGCGATACCAGACAGACATGCCAATGCACAGAGAAGAGACGCAGCAGAATGGTGGGAACGTTAGAATGAGAATGAGGGCAGACAATGAGAACTTGAGCGATAGTTAGCCAAAGGTTCCTGCAAAAAGCTGTTATACCTGCCAGCCATTACTTCAAACAGATAACGATGCCTTTGAGCTCAAGCAGGGACACAGACGCCTCTGTAAGCTGTGACTTACTTAGGAAGTCAGAAAATCCGCCAGTCAAATCGCCCATCACGATGGAGTCCCTGATGCCGTCGTTGTCGAAGTAGGTCCTGTTCTCGGAGCGTTTCCTCAAGATCACGTCCTCCGTGTGGAGTCCGCCACTCATCTGGATGTCATGCCTTCGCGGCAGAGATCCACCTGGAAAGCAAGCGTAATAATCGATCAATCAATTGTTTACTAGCCAATTAACCCCTAAATGCAAAGGGCGAGACTCAAATTGGACTCGCACCTCAGAGACTAGAGGCTCAAATTGGACCGGCACCTCACAAACTCTAGACTCACACTTCAGAGACCCCGAGACTTCTCTGAGAGTCTTTCAGACTCAACCTGACTCAGATTTGCACCTCAGAAACTTGAGACTTGACTTGGACTCACAATGCCGAGGTTCGAGACCTGAATTGGACTGGCACCTCAGAGACTCTAGATTCACACCTTAGAGAACCAAAACATCTCTGAGAGTCTCAGAGATTCAAGACTTGCTTTGTACTCACACCTCAGAGACCTGAGACTCCTCTGAGAGTCTTTGAGACACAACCTGACTCAGATTCACACCTCAGAAATTTGAGACTTAGACTTGACTTGGACACACCTCCAAGACTCAAGACCTGAATCAGACTGGCACCTCAGAGACTCTAGATTTGCCCCTCAGAGAACCAAGACTTCTCTGAGAGTCTTAGAGATTCAAGACTCGCTTTGAACTCACACTTCAGAGACTCTAGACTTAATTTGGACTTGCACCTCAAAGATTTGAGACTGACCTCAGACTCGCACCTCTGAAATCCAAGATTCAAATCAGACTGGCGCCTCATAGACTTGAGACTGACATCAGACTCACACCTTTGAAATTGAAGAATCAAACTGTACTCCCATTTCAAAAATTTGAGGCTCGACTCAGGCTCGAACCTCGCTTAAACCTCAGAGACTCAAGACTTGAACTGGGCTGGCACCACAGACACTCGAGACTCGAATCAGATTTGCACCTCAGAGACCCGAGACTAAACCCACACCTTTGAGATTCGAGACTTCACTCAGACTTGCACCTCAAAGACTCAAGGCTCAAATCAGACTGGCACCTCAGAGACCCGAGACTTCTCTGAGAGGTTCAACTAGAACTCGCACCTACATAATCTCAAGACTCAATTTGGACTCACATTTTAGAGACCTGAGACTTGATTTGGACTCACACCTCTGATACCCAAGACTCAAATCAAAATCCCACCTCAGAAATTCGAGACTCAAACCTTAAAACTCAAGACCTGACTCAGATTTGCACCTTTAAGACTCAATTCAGACTCATCTCAGACAGTCGACTCAGACTCCCCGGAGTTTCAAGGCTGGATTCGACTCAGATTAGAGACTTGACTCAGATTTGCATAAAGTCATCGCTTCAATTATGTTTATCATCCAATCCAAAGTGTTTCTGTTAGGACATTCAGACTCAGTTCGAATGGATTATTCTAGGTCCACTCACCCTGGAGAACCTTCTCCTGCAACTTTTAAGATCTGACTCTAATCTAAAACCCTCTGACCAGCTAATCAAGATCATCAGTAGAGTGTCTATAATAGATTTCTGTATTCCTTAGTTTTGGTTCTAGCTAAACTATGCAGAGTGATTGCTCTGCAGGTCTGGAATCTTCAAGCAAAGATCTGAGTACTTACCTTTTCCAGATATGTAAGTTGTTGTGGTCTCCATTGTTTGGTTGCCAACTCCTGGACGGGGTGAGAGGCTGTAGCTGGTGGAGGAGGTGCTGATGTTCCGTGTCAGAGACCCACTTCCTCCTGGGAACAAGAACTTCTGATCCCATTTTCCGTTGATCAACTGTTCTGTAGATGCAAAAACAAGGAATAAAACAACTAGTGTTAACCGTATGCTAAGTGGACGAATACCTTAACACCCTTAGAGCTCCAGAATAGGGATGTGGCTGCAAAACAGCTGAGGCTGACCATCCTCTCGGTCTTCAGCTCCAAGACCGAAGCTCTCCAATGGCAGCTGTAGCGCAGCAGTGGCTGTGTGGCTAGCAATAGTATTAGCAGTTTCTCTCTGCAAACTAGAGGTCGTAACCCACCACAGTCAATTGCATTCTGTTGGTCACCAGCGACGGGTCGCAGAAGGTACAGTAGTCCAGATGACACCAACCCAAAGCATGGTAGCAGGTTGCCTGACAGCAGTTTGAAACAAGCTAGCTATCCACAACAGAGATGGATAGCTAGTTGTGCATGCTAGCAGAGCGGCGTTAAGGAAGGCTGGTAGGCTGGCATGCGCTCTAGCAGGGGGACATTGTTTGGGTCTTCACCTTGCTGAAGGGTCTGGATGTGGCCACCATGCAGATGGCCACCTGGATGAGGGGTCTGTAAATGGCTAGCTGGCGGCGGGTCATCGCTGCCTTCAGTGCTGGAGCTCAGGCGGTGTGGAATGACGTCCGCAGGCAGTTTCCAGGACACCGTACGGAGATCCAGGTCCGAACCCACTAGCTTAACATGCTTCCAGCGCTTGCCTTTGGAGTCCATGTGGGGGGAAGCAAGCAAAGCATGGAGGACGAGTAGGCAAGCCATGGTTAGTGACTATAATTAGGCAAAGCGATGGAGGGAAGGAAGGAGAAGAAACCCTTCTTAAGCACCTTGATGCCAAAGACTGAAATAGCTGCAGAGGTTGAGCTTATATGGAGTCTAACATTAACTTTAACAGTTTCACAATGGAAAGGAAGGAGACACGTCAACAAATCCACCATGACTTTGCACTGGGAATACAATTTCAATATAGCAGTAAGCGAAAAAAGGAAGAAAACAGTCAGGTAATTGCGACTGAGGCCTCTGTGCATGAAAGCTTGTGATTGAGGAAAGCAATGCTTTTTATATATTGCTTGGGCATGACCGATATATCAGTTGGCCAATAACATCAGCTGATATTGACGATGCATGGTACTATCGATATAGGTGAACACTGAAATTAAAACCTAAAAATAAAAGAATTGTAAAATAAGGCCGATATTATTGTTTATTGGAATTTATAGCCCTGTTACAGTCAGTATTGGCCACAAAATTTTCATATCGGTCAGATCCTCATCTGAACAGCTAGTTATCACCCTTTAGGCATGAACACAAGATCAATCAGAATCCTGGCCACCAAAGCTAGCGAGCGTCTGAACATTGTCCATTCAAAAGTATTTAAACAGCTTATGCAGACTGATAGAAACAAACTGTCTTATCAATATTTGTACCAAAAACAATCAATTAAATGTGTTTTGAGAGTTAAAGGGCTAGCCGAGCTGAAATGCTAACAGTGAATAAAAACTAGCATCGCATGAAAGCATGAAGTTAATAAACAATATGTTTTTATCTACTTTATGTGCAAATTGCGAGCGATAAAATGAAAATGCGTTTTGAAAAAATTGGGATTTTTAGCTCATTTCCATTAAACTGACATTAAGTGATGAAAATGCTTTAAATAATGATGTTGTTTCCTATAAAAAACTGTTTTCACACAAGTTTCGATTGTTTCCATCCCTGATTTCATGTAACTTGTGGCCTGACATTCCCATAACCTTCTGCTCAGGACATTCCGTTCATTTTAATTTAGATTTTAATTTATTTTTCCCATCAGAACCAGATTTTTAAAACAAACCTTTTGAAGCTTTAAAACGTTTTTCATAAAAAGTCCCTTGGATGGAAACAGTTACTGATCCGATTGGTCACATTAGCATTTGCGGCTAAGCTATCCCTTTGAAGTGCTATTGTGAAACGTATACAGACGTATGAATTGTCTGAGTGGCAGGTTCTGTACGTACCTTCGGTTAAGTCAGACACGCTGGGTCTGCCGCTGGCGGTGGGCGAGCGCAGGACTTCGTTACTGTACATCAGATAGCTGTCGTACTCCTCGCCCGCTTCCGCATCCACGATCGGAATATCAGGGATGATGGGAACTGCAGGAGAGCGAGAACAGACAACAGACCAATCAGAACCCCGGCAAGCAACCAAAAGACAGTGAGTGTTTGATGGAACATCATCCAGGACGTTATGTAAACCATGATTGGAGAATACTAGGGGTGCACAATCGGAACTCAGAATAAAACATTATAAAAGTCCTAACAGACTTACTGGACATGGGCCTGTGCGGCTGGGTTGCCAGATTGATGGTGGCGTCTCTGTACGGTCCCCAGCCCACCTTGTTGCTGGCGCGCACTTTGTAGCAGTACGTCTGCGACGGCTGCAGGTTCTCAATCAGCAGCATGCGCTTCTTCGGGTTGTCAATCTTAACCTTCTTAGAGGGTCCAATGGGTTCTAGACACGAGGAAAGAGAACTTGAGGACATTGTTGTTGTGCGACTAAAAGGAGAGTCCCGGAATCTGAGAGCTACACAACTGTTGAAGAGTGTGACATATGAATTCAAATTTATTTAAAAAACAGCAGTGTTACAAACTAAACATCAAACGTTATTTCATGTTTTATTCTACATTTTATTTTTAGTAGGGAAAGACAAAAAGTTATTAAATGATAAATACGGCAAATATTTTTTAGAAATTTATTGTCAAATTTTCTGAACTATTAAAAAAAGATGTCTTGAAATTTTTTAGGACTTCATTCTGGATCATAATTTTTATTTATTTTTTGTTTTTCAGTTGCAGTGATATGTTAATGTGTGCAATATGTTGTTAGGACAGGATTACGGTTAGATTCACTCACTGCTGTCCTCGTTGATGGGCGTGTAGACGACCTCATACTCTGTGATCACCCCGTTGGGTTCTGCTGGCTCCGCCCAGCTCAGCTGTGTGACAGTCGGGCCGATGACGTTGAAGGCCAGGCGTCCTGGTTCACTGGGCACTGCAGATAAAACAGATATTAACAACAAAAGTGCCAAAGAAAATCCATATTTTAGTTATTCCAGCCCTGATTCATCAAAATAATTAAACATATTGGAAAAATGGGACACGCCCTGAAAAACCTCACTGGCAGACAATGTGTATATATATATATATATATATATATGTATATATATAATTAGATTTTAAATAATTAGTCTAAAACATTAGAAACATTGTGAAAAAAAATATTGGAAAATGTTGTTAAAAACAAAAAAATCCCTTAAAAATCAAGTAAATCATCCAGGTGTATTATTAATTAGTCAATCAGGCTTGTTTGTTAATCCAAAAAAAGTTTGTCATTTTCATTCCAAGTATTTATGTTTGTCATGATATATCTACAGTGTTCTCTAGTTATATACAGTTACATACAGTATGTGAAAGTTTTGGCACCCCTGGTTGAATGCCACATTTTCCCGTACTTCTAATACGGGATTGCCGTTTGTTTGGTGACTTTGGTATGATGGCGCTTTTTGTAAAGTCTCAGAGTTTATGTTACTCAATAGGCCTTAAACCAAGTCAGTTGTAGACAATTCAGGAGCATAATTAATTCTCTGACCCTTCACACCTCTCAGCACAGAGATATCTGAACACTGTAATTACCACAGTCTATAATGCAGTTAACCCTCTGGGGCCCACAAACTCAGCCATGCATCAAATCCTCTGTCTCTATATCTGTGTCTGTATCTTTGTGATGATCCAGCTCTGAAATCCAGTTCAAACACTTCCTGAATCTGTAGAGTCGCCCTTTCCATTCCATCTTATCACAAGATCATACGAGACTCACATCCGGAGTTATGAGCCTATGAAGAGGGGCTGAGATACACGTCATCTGCCTCTCACCGTGTGGTACTGGGTGGATTGGTGTGTCCGTCTACATTCTGTGTGAAACTGACCAACGGACACTCAGGAAATCACTAAGGACTGACCATCACGCCGGAAACCCTTCATTCTTCATTCAGTCCACATCGGAGACTCATGTGAAACGGCGTGCAGAGAGTTTACAGCTGCTGAAGCTGCTGCAGCGGTTTTGGAAAGTAGTGATGAAGATAACGGAGCATTTAGATATGAAACATATGAGGATCATGATATATGAAGAGCCTTTAAAGGAGAGTTTAAGAAGAGATGAACAGATCGAGAAAAAGCTTAGAACTGTTAAAGTCAAGACAAGATCTGGAAGAAATATCTCGAATAGAACTGCTCAAGTATGCAAAGCAAAACCCCCACATTGCTGCCAAGGATGGGATGGGATTTTACTGGGATGGGAACAGTGATGCACTTGCCCAGTGTGTAGTGTTGTTGCCTGATTTGCAAGCAAAATTATGAATATTTCTGAGATGAAACTGTTCTAATTCAAGAATGGAAAAACTGTCAGCTGTCTACAGAAAATTCTTGGAGCTGAAAAAGTTCTTACAAAGTACTGTTTGAAACGGTGCCGAAACTTAGGCACACTTTTTTTTCGATAAAAATAATACCCATACATTAAATATTTGCAGAAATACGTGTTCCATGCAGAAGTGGCGGTAACTTCTTTTCACTTAAAACAACAGAATGTGTAATTTGACCAGCTTACCGAAACTTTTAACGTTGATGTTTACTTTAATGCCACCATTTCAATGCGCAGGTGGTTTTTGTGAATTAATTTTACCCATACAGATGTACAGGTTACTTTTTTCACATGACGCTGACTACAGAAAATAAGTTCAGAGGTCAGTTCTTTAAATGACTGATTAACTCACCGTCCTCCAGAGTCTGGCACTGCACTATGTCGCTGTAGTCCCCGTCTCCCTGCGCGTTGTAGGCACATACGCGCATCTCGTAGTCGCAGTACGGGTAGAGGTTGGTCAGCTCTGCCTGAGGGTTCTTCACATCCACCACCTGAGCATCAGCTTCTGGGTCTCCATAGATCCAGTACTTCACCTAAACATGGAGCAACACATTCGGAAACATTCGGAAATTTCTTCCTAATGTAAAGTAGCCACTTAACTCCTGTAGATGGCAGTAGCAACAAATAGCCGGTAAGTCTTGTAATGCTGTCACAATCGTCATGGCGATACATTTTAGTTTGTGCTTTAATGCATCTCACCTTGTAGCCTTTGGCGCCCGTCTGGGGTTTCCAGTTGAGGCGGATGTTTTTGGGGCCCACGGGCGAAGCCTCAATGTTGGTGGGGGGGTGAAGGCGGCCGCTGGGTGAAGACAATAATGGGGCTCCTACAAACTGCATTGTATCTCCTGTTGTAGCAAATCAAAACAGAAAATAAGACTTAAGTTAGCTGAACATCTGAAGTACAGACCGATGTTTTTCATATTTAAATGCCTTATTACTATAAAAACTAGGAAAAATAATAATTAATACCAAACCTGTCGCTGATCCTAAAGCTGAGTTCAGGTGTTTGCGTTGAAAAACAAAAACAAAAAGTTGTTCTTTATAAGACGATGGCTAATGTTGCTAACGTTAGCATGGTGACAGCGTTACCGGTGTAAAGGGGTGATTATCAGAGCTGGGGTTCTCAACCTTTTCCACCCCAAGGCCCACCTGTTCATAACTGTATAGCATAGCGGCCCATAAAAAAACTAAAATCAAAATTTTTTTTAAATAGCTTTTTTTTCTTAATTGCTCACACTGGAAACCTGTGAATTGGCGCCTAAAAAGATCAGATTGTCGATTTTACTTCAATCACAGAAGCCGAAATTTGTAGTTATGTTAAAAAACCATATGTTTTGCAGAGATGTTAAAAAAGAATCGTCCTTCTATCGCAAACGTGAACGCAGCCTAACAAGCTTTTCGGTTCCATTGTGATGGAACAACTAAACACACTGAAATTAGCCAGAAACCAACAGAATATAATTCAGCAAGCAAGACGGGCTGTTGGATTAGATGTTCCGTCGCAGCTGCCAGCAGAAAAGATGGGGATCAGTGACAGGTTCGGAATTCAATGTAGTCCTGTGGTCACTCTCTCTGTTTCAGAATCTCATAGCAGTTGTGAGATAATACAATGTGTCCATTTTTTATTTTTGTAAAAAGTAGAAATTTAGCAGGATTTCTGCAGCAGAAAGCGCGTCATTACTGAGTAACCAGTGCTCAGCGATACGGTTACTGAGGAAAAACATGCTTTTATCACAAATATCAATATGGGTAGAACGACTCTCAGCCAATCAGCTTGTGCCATCTAAGTTAACTGCTGTTCCACTTGAGTGTAAATAAGTTACACATCCTCTTCAGAGAAATGTTCACTTATTTTCACTTAGAAAATCAACAAAACATGTAATTTGACCAAACTTTTGTACATAACTGTACAGTTGAATAATATCTGGCTGAAATGTGTCTCAGTCCTCCTCCTGTACAGGTTTGACTGACCAGGTCTGAACCTGTTTTGAAAGGGTGTGTTTACACCTGCATGTTTAATGTGGATTATCTCCATCTGGATCTAATCCTGACACTCAGAACATACGAAACGACGGAGTGTAAAGAGGTTCTTATGTACACCAACATCCAGGCATCCTCAAACATGGTAACTGTGGTGAGCGACTGACCTCTGTCGACGATGTGGACCTGTGTGGTCTTCCTGTCCTTGACGGAGCTGTTGGGGCTGGGGTCAAACAGCTCCAGCTCAAAGGTCTCTGGCTTTACCGGACTTGGGTGCGAATGCGGGTTGATGGCGATGTTCTTCTCCGTCTCTCCGGGGGCGAATTTGAGCTGGCCGTTCTGGTTCAGACGAGAGGAGTTGCGGATGCGCCAGTTCACGGTGGACGGGTTCTCCTGGCCCTGGGTTCGGATCACAGGGATGTTGTAGACCGGATCGGACACGCTGTAGGTCTGTGTGCTGTTCTTAAACATCATCACGCTGGGATCTGTCACAATATAAATCAATATAATATTAAATATGAATCAATATAACATTCTTAAATATGACTGCATGCTTTTATCAGTAACTCTGCTGTAGATGCTCAGCTTATCTAAACATCTACTGAATGAAACTTTCGCCAGATAGTTTGATGATGATTTGAGGCTCTAAGAAAAAGAACGACAGCAGTAGTTCAATATGTTTTAGCTGTAGAGAATCACGCTGCAGTTTTGTAGACATGACTTCTGATCTGTTTATCTGTCTGTCTGTCTGTCTATCAGACTTCAAAGCATTCCAGATGAGAGAAAAGTACAAAGAGAAACTTGTTTATACTGTAATTTGTGCTGTATTGTTTACTGTCTGGCTGTTTTAGCTGGTAGATAAGTAATTTGTATTGATCTGAACTCTAATCTGCCGTCAGACTGATCATAGTGGGAGTCAGTGGGGTGATAAGTGCTGTTCACCTGGTTTGTCGGTGATGTTGATGGTGGTCCGGGGGTACCGGCCCAGTTTGGCCCCCTGCCGCGGGTTGCTCAGGTCCATCACAAACTGTTTGGGCTGTTTGTCCAGCAGGGTGTCCGTCTCACTGGGCTGCAGCAGCTTCACCTGAACCATCTTCTGCGTCTCTCCAGGCGCGTAGGTCATGTCTCCGTCTACTGACACATAGTCCTGCAGAGAGAGATGCAGCTTTGGGTTCAGAGGCGGGAGGGACAGTGACACTGTAACCACGGAAACGGGTGTAACATAACCATGGAAATATGTAGCGTAACCATGGAAATGGGTGTAACATAACAATGGAAACGTGCAGTGTAACCATGGAAACGGGTGTAGCATAACAATGGAAATATGCAGCGTAACCATGGAAATGGGTGTAACATAACAATGGGAATGTGTGTAGTGTAAACATGGAAACGGGTGTAGCATAGCAATGGAAACGTGCAGTGTAACCATGGAAACGGGTGTAGCATAGCAATGGAAACGTGTAGTGTAACCATGGAAACGGGTGTAGCATAACAATGGAAATATGTAGCGTAACCACGGAAACGGGTGTAACATAACCATGAAAATGTGTGTAGTGTAACCATGGAAACGGGTGTAGCATAACAATGGAAACGTGTAGTGTAACCATGGAAACGGGTGTATCTAACCTTCTGAACAATATTGTTTATCAGTTGACCAAAGCATAACGATCCTTGACCTTTGACCTTACCTTCCTGTCCTTGGCAGTGAGGTCACGGGAGCTGTAGGTGACCTGTGTGCGGCCGTCCTCAACAATTTCACGGTTAATAGGGATGTTAGCCACACCGTCTTGGCGAGAGTAGGTGTACGAGGGCTGGAGGAAGGTGAAGATGCTCTTAGCTGCACACACACACGCACACACACACACACACACACGCACACACACACACACACGCACACACACACACACACGCACACACACACACACATACACACACACACATACACACGCACACACGCACACACACACACACACACGCACACACGCACACACATACACACACACACACACATACACACACACACACACACACAGACACACACACACACACACACACACGCACACACACACACACATACACACACACACATACACACGCACACACGCACACACACACACACACACGCACACACGCACACACATACACACACACACACACATACACACACACACACACACACAGACACACACACACACACACACACACACGCACACACACACACACATACACACACACGCACACACACATAGTAAACAATTAACAACAAATTCCATGAAACATCTTCATCAGTCAGTCAAACCTTTTCACATCCTCCAAATTTACTACGATGATGAAAAATGCCACACGACTTCTGATTGGATGAACATCAGTGCTCTTTTGGATTACATGTCATTTTTATATTTTCATTCACAGTTAAGTTAGTTTTTCAGTATTCCTGTTGAAGTCAGGGCTCCCTGTGAACAAAACACTTCATTTACTTTTTAGTCCTTTAGATTAATCCATGCAAACTTTCCACCACCTGATCTGTACTAAACACCCTGTAGGTGCTCTGTATTCATTTCACACACAGGGATACTGTATGTATGTATACTGTACATTTTGTAGCTGTATCTTGTATTTATTTATAATGATTCTGACTTCGTCTCTGACTCTGACTCACTGTCTGACTCTAATGTCTATGATGCTAATTCTGACTCTGATTCTGACTATAATTCTGATTCTGACTCTGACTTTAACTGATTCTGACTCTAAATCTGATTCTGATTCTAATTCTGACTCTGATTCTAATTCTGACTCTGATCTATCACATTCCTTGTACAGGCAAGTGCCAATAAAGTGATTCTGACTCCGTCTCTGATTCTGTCTCTGCAAAGGTCTGACTCTGATTCTACTTCTGACTCTGCTTCTGACTGTGACTCTGATTCTGATTGATTCTCACCGTTTTCTTTGATGACAGTGATGTTGACGAAGCGTTTTCCAATTTTGGCGATTCCGACCGGAACGTCGATGGCCTCCACCAGCAGCTGCTTTTTAGGATCATCCTCGTCTTTGATGAAGAGCGGAACTCGAACGTCCACAGACTCCACGCCCTCCTGCAGCTCCACAGCCCCCGTCGCCTCTGAGACACGGAAACAGAGCGTGATTCCAAAAGAGCTTCAACATTTATCACTGAAACATCGGAAAATCAGATACAGACGCCTTAAAACCCGCCGCTTTACAGAGACTCAAACCTGGTCCCAGTCAAAGGACACAGCTACTCAGAGAGGCTTTTCATTATTATTACTATTTCACACATTTTAATAGGATCAAAACTAAAACAAATGAGACGACTGGAATTTCACAGTGAGCAGAAAAGTGTCAAACAAATCAAACTTCTACTTTAGAGTCTTTAAAGTAGCCCCTTCTTTATGTGTTTATACATAAACAAACAAACAAGCAAATAAATAAAAGCACATTTAAATGCTGGCGCTGTCCTTTCAAAACCTTTCTTTCTCGTTTTCATCATTTCCATCATTTAAATTCCATCAGTGAGAATATTTCACATCTTCTGTAAAGCTACTGTCGCTAAGCTTGGAGTTTGTTGTTATTACGGCGATATAAAACATTCGTTAAATAATTTCATAAATAAACGAATGGATGTATAAATAAAAGCATGAAGGAGGAAGTGATGCGCACCTCTGTCCGTGGCGACGGTGTAGTACCCGGGCACCACTCTCAGGTTGCTTAAGTTTCCGACCTGCACCTGTTTATCGGTCAGGCTCACGATGTCGTTGTAGCTGGACCGCGGAGCCGACAGAACCGTGTCCACTATCGTGTTATTCTGCCTGATGGAGGAGGAGCAGAACGTTAGGATCAGCTGCTACTGTCTGAGAGCAGAATGACACAGTATGAGAGACTGATTAACGATGATCAATGATTAATGATTGATTAGTGACGTTACCTCTTTCCTGCATTCCTCTGAGTCCTAAAGCGAAACAGACACACTCAATCAAACAGACGGCAGACAAACTACAGACGGCAGTGACTGTACTGAGCTGGTGATGTGTTGGTTTGTTGATTGTTTTTAGTTTGTTATAATTTCTTTTATATTGTTTTATGTAGTAAAACGGTCTACTGGCTCATTTTTGTTCACTTTTTTGCATAGTTTGAAAATACGAGCTGTTCTTTTTCACACATGCTCAATTTTCATGATGAATGGACCAATAGAAATGCTTCAAATATATATATATATATATATATATATATATATATATATATATATATATATATATACACCGATCAGGCATAACATTATGACCACCTCCTTGTTTCTACGCTCATTGTCCATTTTATCAGCTCCACTTACTATATAGGTGCACTTTGTAGTTCTACAGTTACAGACTGTAGTCCATCTGTTTCTCTGATACTTTGTTACCCTGTTCTTCAATGGTCAGGACCCCCATGGACCCTCACAGAGCAGGTACTATTTGGGTGGTGGATCATTCTCAGCATTGTCTTTGACTTTACATCTACAAGGTGGACTGACAAGGTAGGAGTGTCTAATAGAGTGGACAGTGAGTGGACACAGTGTTTAAAAACTCCAGCAGCACTGCTGTGTCTGATCCACTCAGACCAGCACAACACACACTAACACACCACCACCACGTCAGTGTTACTGCAGTGCTGAGAATGATCCACCACCCAAATAGTACCTGCTCTGTGAGGGTCCATGGGGGTCCTGACCACTGAAGAACAGGGTAAAAGGGGGCTAACAAAGTATCAGAGAAACAGATGGACTACAGTCTGTAACTGTAGAACTACAAACATGGACAAATATTTTGTTGATTTTCGAAGTAAAAGTACATATATGTCATAATAATAATAATAATAATAATAATAATAATAATAATAATAGTAATAATAATATTGTCATTTCTCTGCATCTTTTTGCACAATATTCTATTTAACATGTTGGGAAAAATAAAAGATGAATTCAAAAAGTGCCAAAACTTTAGCACAGGCCAGATTTTATGGTTTATTTTTATAGGTATAAATATTCTCACATATACATAAAATTATATTATTTCATATAAAATATTTTTAATAAAATAGAACATCACAGGAGAAGGTAAATGTTTCTAAATGTAATGTTAATGTAGACTTTGTTCTGAGTAATTCTGGAGCGTTCATAAAGACATTTTCACACCGCTGAGCTGAAGTGATGTCGAAAAAAACAGACAGTGAAAATATACAGAATTTTAATATTCTTACCTTCTTCTATATAAAATATGTATTTTAAAGTTTGTGTTTCATTTTAATTTATATTTATTTTATTATGTAAATATCAAACTTAAACTCAGATTCTCGCTGCGCTGTTTTACAAAGCGATCTCCTTTTTCAGAGGGATGAGGATGAGCCTCACCTGAACCTGGTCTTCTGCACCATGTGTGCGCCGGGGATGCGCTTGAACACGTCGTTGAGCTGTCGATAAACACACAGCGGTCAGGAAAAGCCACTACAGCACGACTGACCCAGCCCCCCCCAGACTGATGATAGGCTTTAAAGGCCAACTCACATTGTCCTCCACCTCCTGCCTGAGACTCTGAGCGTCCCGAGTCTCCGGGCGAGAGAGCTCGTCCGAAAACTGCCTGTTCAGCCGCAGAGAGAGAGGGAAGTCGACTAGAGAGATAAACAGACAACAAATACAGATATTCATAAACTTCATTAATTATTCAGTATCTATTATAGATTATTCACTATCCACTATGAATTATTCAGTATCTATTTAGGATTCAGCTGGATCCTCCTCTGCTGTCACACTCACTGATTTCTTTGGGGTTGGGCTGGATCTGGTTCTGAGGGTGACTGGGTGGACGGTGGACGTTGTCCCTCACTTTCCAGCGGACCACATCTGTGCTCTTAAGCGGGCCGGTCCGCACCAGAGGAGTGTCCAGATGGTCTGAGGTCAGCAAAGACTGACGTAGCATGTAATGATCTTCCTTAAAGCCGACCATGCGACCTGCAGACGGAACCGGAACGTCAGGAAGACGCCAGACAGAAAACGTGCAAAAAGAACATTTATAATATTCAAATTAGCTCCTTTTTCTATGTAACAGACTTTTGAGAACTTCAGTAATGAAGCTGCTCATTAAGTGCAGATTGGAGCCCAGCTGAGGCAGAAAAAGGGCTGTCTGTTGTGAATGGGTGGGGCTAAACCGCTGTATACTGAATGGGCGGGGCCAAACCGGTGTAGGCTGAATGGGCGGGGCCAAACTGCTGTAGGCTGTACCCCAGACTCTTTTATTTAAAGGGGATTCAGTTTTCTATGATATTGGCCCTTTAAATCTCCAGGTAATTAGTAAAGCCCTTCGTTTAGCTCAGTCAGGTGTGAGTAAAACAGTGATCACCTTTGGCGCAGCACGGGCAGCACAGAGCTAAGAGCTGAGCCAGGCAGGCCTGATGGAGACAAACAAAAACATTACTACACAAAATATATAACACCAAAATAACCTTATATAAGGAGGTAGATTCCAAAGTTTTGGACTGAGCCAAATATGTGGAGTTAATTGTAATGTCAGTGTTGGTTTAATAGTGAAAAAAGTGGCCTCTACAGTCATAATAACCATATAAAACTGATGTATAACCTATAGTATATATTACTATACACACCTATGTACTATATATAATAGTATACACTATATACCTATAGTATATAATAACAAATACCTTTTTAATGATATATAATTATATACCATTTAAGGTCTATTGTACATACTAATATATACCTTTATATTATATATAATAATATATACCTGTAGAATATAAACTTGTATTCCTCACTTCTATAACTTAAGAATACCTCACTCTGCATTGTTTTCTATGTAATTACTGAACAATAATCCTCAGCAATGCAAAAAAGTCAGAGTTTAAATGGCTAAAATAAATGTTAAATAAATAAATTAATAAATTAATCTGACATTTTTTTCTTAACACAATAAAATATTTATACAAATATATAATTTATATAAAATGTGACCCGAATCTCCAGATACGTTACTTAAATACTGTTGCTATCAGGACAAAACCTCGTATCTCAGAGGTTCAGACAGTGACAATATGTAGGTATGCATTACGTCTGTGTTTATATACACTAGAACATGGTTCCTCACGTGGTTCTATATAGACGCATGAACACTCAAAGAACCCTTTGCATGATTAAATGGTTCTCCACATGGTAAAACTGATCTTCAGACTGATGGAGAATGTGTTGTAGATGGTTCTACACAGAAACTTTTTGAAAATGATTCTGTAAAGCACCGTAAAGGGTTCTGCTATTGTTATGATATCAAACCAGAACCATTTTTGGTGCTATATAGAACCATCAACAACACATTCTCCATCAGCCTGAAGATCAATTTTACCATGCAGAGAATCATTTAATCATACAAAGGGTTCTTTGAGTGTTCATTGTTATATACAGAACCACTGTCTGTACTAAAGAACCCTTGAAGAACCATCTTTTTAAGAGTGAATGCATGTATTATATCTGTTTATTTACACAAGTGGGAAAATAGTCAGTTTCCATTTACTCAGTTCTGTTTCCAGTGAAATTCTGATGTGTTTATAGTTAAACGTTGATATTTTTATTTCTCAGTTCCACTTTAATCATTCAAATTTAGCTCCTAATTCTTTTTTTTGGAGTTGAATTTGGTTCTGCTGTGCTGGTTCAGCTCCTGAGCTGCTCTCACTCTGGAGCTTTAATGCTTTATTTTGGACCAGATAAACAAGAACAGAACCTCAAAGAACCTCAACCTAAGGGACCTCAGTTCCTATGCTGACTCTTATGCACTCCATTTTTTTATTTGTATATTTTCTATTATTATTCATATTCTTATTCTTGTTTTAATTATGATTATTTAATTATTATTTTAGTCATTTTAATTAATTTTCAGTTTCCTTTGATCTTATCCTCCTTCTGTTTTATTTATCTTCTTTTGATTTTTTTAACTTTTACATTTTAGCTATGCTTTAATTATTGTTATATAATTTCTACTGTATTTTTATTATTAATGTTTTACCTGAATTGAGTTGTTTTTATTATTAAATTTTATTATTTGATATGTTTTTACACATTATCAGTCTCTTTTTCCTGTATCAACTCTGCAACGTTGTAAATGAGGGTCACCCTCAATGTTCTCCGAGGTTAAATAAAGGTTGATTGATTGATCAATTGATCCATCCCACCTTAAATGATGCAGGTGTTGCTGCTGTGCCATTTAAGGTGGAACAGAACATCTTAATGTTTATGGTACTCTACACTCGACTGTGTATGTGGGGATAAAACCACCCAGATCATCTTCACTCCACAGTGTGCAGGTGTGAGTGGGAACCTTGCAGCAAGCGCAGTATTTCCAGCAGCAGAGCAGCAGAAGACCCAACAGCAGCATCAGGAACATGATGAGAGGAATCAGCCAGAGGAAGCCTCCAGGGGGACAGTCTGCACCACACAGCATAAACCCCGTCAGCTCATTTAGACCCAGATCAACAAACATTCACACCGCTTTCATTCTCCTCTCCTCTGACGGTCCTGCAGCGCTCAGTTCTGCAGTCTTACAGACCATAGAACTTTCCGTTTTCTTACTTCAGTGATTCTTTTTCTTTAGAACCCCAGAGCTTCAGCAACACTGTGTTCAACATCGTTTATCAACCCAGTAAAGCCTGATGTTTATCGCAGGTTCCTCACCTTTCTTCTTCAGCACCTGCACCTCGTACTCTTTATCGGTGGGGTTCGGCGGGAAGTCCACAGTGTAATAATACGTACAGTCATCCTCCTCATCACGGTACTCACACGTCTCTGTCACCTTTTCTCCTGAAAATAAACAAAAACATCTGGAATATTTCCATTTCCTCCGACACTTTTACTCTGCATGTACTGAATAATTCATAGTACCAAATAATTCCTAATAAATACTGAAGAATTTATAGAAGATACTGTATAAATCATAGTACTGAATAATTCATAATAAATACTAAAAAAAATTCCTAATAAATACTGAATAATTCACAGTAGATACTGAGTAACTCGTAATGCTAATAAAAACAGAGTAACTTAGTAATTCTTAGTAGTTATTGAGTAATTCATGGAAACAAAATTGAGTCCCTCCAAAAAAACCATGCATAAACCATCCCAGCCTTTTTAGATGATCAATTATTTTGTTTTCTATTTTATTTTGCATTGTTTACATCACAAATCTTTTATAAAATGCCTTATTTACATTTCTGTGACCCCTTTATTTAAATACAGAACATCAAATAATGCCACACCATGATTTATACAAAAGAAAATGTCACATATATGTTTTTCCTTTCAAGCGCTCAGTTAATGGAAGACCTATAGATGCATAATAAGGCATAAGTAATATCAGGATATCACGCATAAACATCAGAGACGTGCAACACTTTTGTTTTTACACCAGTTGCGAGTGACAAACACTGATGTGGCAAAGCAGCAAACGGAAACTGCTTAAACCGCTCTTGTGTGGTCACTATTACGGCCCATGTGCACATCTGATTCACCTAAATCCACACAAATCACAGGTTCACTCACTCTCCTTCAGCTCGTCCACCATCACCACCTTGAACGGACAGTCCTTGCACTTCTCTCCTTTCATCTCTCCGGTCTTCCACGCTTGGCACTGGACGCAGCTCTTCTTGCTCTCACACATGCCCAGCTGAGCCTGAACACACAGCGCAGAACTCCTCAGAGACTGAGGGACTTTTCAGAAAACCACCGTAAACGTTTGGTGTGTGATGAATCAGCTCTGAGTACGTTTATCTTCAGCACTCAGCTTCATGTTCATCTTCTATGGCAGGTTTTAAATAATGATTTGACAGTTTTCTTTTACAAACTATTGATAAAAACTCATTTTTGGTCAAAAGGGGGTTTAAACACCTGAAAGGTTTGAGCGCTGATATCAGAGCCGGTTTATGAGGAGCCTGGCCACTTCCATTATATCAAAAACAGGACTGCTAAACAGCAGGGGGCGCTCGCGAGAGAGTCCTCAATGAACAGGGGTAAATGGAGCTCAACGGTTAAAACAAAAAGTTTAAATAGTTCGTAATCACTGAACCAGAACTTTCCTTTAGTTTTAGAAGACATTACAGATGGTGATTCTCTCAGAGAACTTACTGTAGTCTTCTGGGTTTCTCTAACACTAGAGGGCGCCCCCGATTGAGTCCAAAATAAAGGGTTAAGATGGAGCGCTTGAGTAAAATCATAGTTTATAAATGCTGAAACATTTTAATACAGAAGAATTCATTCATTTCCTGAACACAGAGCAGCTTAAAACATTTTAACACTGGTTATAATTTTAAGAGCTTTTAAACTCGAGTTATAGGAGTTTAAAATGGAACGCTATATACGTTTAGCTGTTTAGCTCCATTCACTCCCAGTCATTGAGGACTCTCTCACAGGCGCCCCCTGCTGTTTAGCAGTCCTGTTTTTGATATAACGGGGAAACAGGAAGTGGCCAGGCTCCTCATAAACCGGCTCTGATCCTCCTCTCTACAAGTTCTCTGCTGATTTCACAACAAGGGGATAAAGTGGGCGTGGCCTTTGGCTTCATTCCCTTCATAGCACTGTCACAAGTCTTGGTACAAATATTTAGATGTGTGATGTCTTTTTCCTCCAGAATAAATCTGCATTTAATACGGCAAGTTATTGAATGAGATCATGATCAAATGGTTCGCAGACATTTAGAAAAGACTTAAAGACACTCAACATCAAACTGACCTGGAAGTTCGGTTCACAGGTTGTGCCCAGGCCCAGTCCGGAATATTCACACTCACAGCGCCCACACTTACACACTCCACGGCCATTACACAGAGTCTGAGAGAGAGAGAGAGAGAGAGAGAGAGAGAGAAAGAGAGAGAGAGAGAGAGAGAGACAGAGAGACAGAGAGAGAGAGAGAGAGAGACAGAGACAGAGAGAGAGAGAGAGAGAGAGAAAGAGAGAGAGAGAGAGAGAGAGACAGAGAGACAGAGAGAGAGAGAGAGAGAGACAGAGACAGAGAGAGAGAGAGAGAGAGAATGAAAGATAAGTGAGTTTGAAGATGCGATTGCACAATGTATCAAAGTGTCAAAGGCCTTATTCACCGACGGTTCTTAAGAAGAAATTCCCTCTTAAACCCACTTATGCAGGTTTATGAAGACTCTGACTCACCAACGTTCTCTTATTTGGGATTTGATCTTGGGTACGAACAGAATCTAAACAGGCCTCAGTCACTTCTTTGGTTCGCGTCCTCGGATTCTTTAAACTTTGCTTTCAGACGTTTATCTGTTCTTTGACGCTGCAGCCTCGCTCTCCTACGGCAGCGTCCGGGCATTTCTTTCGGGCTTTGGATCAGTTTCTTCTAATTTTTTGTGCAGAAACATCAGCCTAAATGTTTACGAGTCTCAGCAGAGTGAAATGATGACAAATGTCGAGTTGGATTGACGTAAAAGTTGCATGAATTCCGATCTGGCTGAGTTGCACTGCTGCAGATCGGATACGTATCGGATTTCAGTACCACATACAAAAGTGTCCCAAATCAGAATGGAAATGTCAGATTCAGTGTGTTTATCTGTTCACACTGACACACAGACACACCTGTGTCACAGATGAAGAACAAGATCAGATTTGGGCCACTTTTACCTGCCGTGTAAACAAAGCCGAGCCTATTGGCTTCATCTTTAAAGAACTTTAAAAGAACTTGACAGGAGCGGCGTTCCGTGATGCAGCGGTAAAGAACAGCGGTGCTGTGAGGCGAACAGGAAATCCCCCGCAGAGCAGACCGTCTCATTTCCGTTCAGCCTTCGCGGGTCTACACAGCCTTCATAGACCGCGTCCTTCGAAGGATGCAGCCCCGGAATTGGGCCACAGCTCTAGAAGGCCCTGAGGGTCCCCTCTGCCTGACAGTGAGGGGGCTGTGTTTGTTTTTAGGGATAAATCTGCCTGTTCTGTCTCTTTATCATATTACGGTCAGTTCATTCTTTAAAATGTTCCGATCGTCTGTCCTACTGTGTGTCTGTGTGTCTGTGCGTCTGTGTGTTTTTTACCCCTTTGTTGTCCAGGCAGGTCACGTTGCTGAGAGGACACTCGCAGGCGTCTCCTGTCCACCCAGATTCGCATGCACATCTGCCCAGGAAGCATCTGCCTCGGTCTGAAACATACAGACACACATTTTTAATTAGATAAGATAAAAAAGTAACAAGGAGAGAATTAACCAGCAAATAATGAACCTTAATTACTCAACAGGGTTTTACAGTTACTTTATAGACAATATATATAATACTAAAAGTAAAAATAAGATAAAAATATAAACCCTGTCCTTCACAAAAATTAACAACATAAAGAATTATAAATAAATAAAAGCTAAGATATTTACACTGTAAGGATATTTTACCCGAATTTCATAGAGTTTTGCACATGAGGTCCTGATTTATGTTACACATTCGATGGTGAGGAGTTAATAATGTAAACAAAATAAATAGAAAAGCAAAGCAAAAAATATTCACACTATCTCTCTTATTACCTATGATCTCTATCAAATAGACAACACTAACACTGGACAAGGTCTCATATCATATCATATTTCGCTGTTGTCGGATCAAAACCTCGTAACTTTACAGGAGAAGGAAAAACACACGCCACTTAATGTAAGTCAATGGAACCAGAACTTTTCCAAGCAATTTTGAACTGTTTCTTTTGGTCCATTCATCAAGAAATTTACACAAAACGTAAAAAGCAACAGGCATTTTCAAAATATGTCAAAAACTGAAAAACGTATGGTACATACAATATGATAGACAGATAGACAGACAGACAGACAGACAGATAGATAGATAGATAGACAGACAGACAGACAGACAGACAGACAGACAGATAGATAGATAGATAGACAGACAGACAGACAGACAGACAGATAGATAGATAGATAGATAGATAGATAGATACATAGATAGATAGAAGTTAAAATGAAAATGTTATTCCAGGCAGTTTTGTGTCCGGCACTGACCGTTGCAGAGGAAGCCCCCGTATCTCTGGCACTGTGATTTGTCGTACTGGCAGAAAGGGCCGTCATACTGGCTGGGATTATGACATATACAGGTTCCACAAACACAGTCTCCTCGTCCACTGCACGGCTCCTTCTTATTGGGCTCGATACAGCCCGCATCGGACTGGACCTGCGACGAGCAGTTACAGAACGGACCCATCCTGCAGAGAGAGAGAGTAAAGTAAGGCAGGACAGTAAGAGGCTTCTTAAGATATCACGTGTTTTTCTGAATGGTGTTCCACAAGGCTCTGTTTTAGGGCCCCTACTGTTCTCTCTGTATTTGCTTCTCTTTAGATACATGATGTGTAAACACAATGTTTCGTATGACTGTGTAAAACACTTTGAGATTTTGTCAAAAAGTATTTTGACTGTCAAAGCACCGTAAAATTTAATGTTCAAAATGTAATTTTTCCAAACGCACATGCTGTTTTTAATTTACAGAAATACTGACAATTGACAAGAACAGAATACACTGTAAAAATGTGGTAACAAGTGATTAACTAGTTTTATTCCACTCAATAAATGACTCTGATTGAAAGAATCTGTCAAAGTATTTATTTAGGCTGAAAAAAAACTTGTTACTTTACTTGTTGCCACATGAAGTCATTTTAGGTTGACCTGTCATTTTTTTACAGTGCATGAACACCCAAAGAACACTTTACATGATTAAATGGTTCTTTGCATGGTGAAATTGTTCTTCAGACTGATGGAGAATGTGTTGTATAGGGTTCTATGTAGAACCTTTTTGAAAAGGGTTCTATACAGCACCAAAAAGGGTTCTTTTTCCATTGTAATAGTGACAATATTACAATATGATAACTTGATCCTGTACAAATAGAAGAACAACACATTCTCCATCAGTCTGAAGAACCATTTCACCATGCAAAGAACCATTTAATGAAGAATAATTTAATCAAGGGTTCTTTGAGTGTTCATGGTTCTACATAAAATCAAAAAAGAACCCCTTTTTAAAGAATGTACTGTAAAAAGTGCTGCAGTCATTAAACTGAACTGAGTGGGAGTTTAATGTGAGCTTCCAGCTCAGAATTACCATTTCTCATAACAGCGGCACGTTCCACACACCAGGTTACCGTTACCATTGCACCGGATCGCCTTTACGATTGGATTCTGGGGGAAAAAGATAAGAGTGTGTTTAAAAAGGTAAAAAAAGCCAATAAAAAAGTTTTTTTTCATCTTTATCATCACTTTTACTGATATAGCGCCTTCCCTGCTCAAGGACTCTATATGATCAAAGAACAGGAACACATTAAACACTGAAAAGTACACAGCAACAAAAGGACAATTACAGGCACAGCAGTCAAGCACAAGAGGATCACTGAGCATATAAAGAAAACAAGTGTGTCTTTAACAGAGCTTTAAATGAGGAAACAGGCGGGGCCTACCGAATAGACTCGGGAAGGGTATTCCTTAATTTGGGAGCTGCTACGCTAAATGATTGACCACCCATAGATTAAGAGACCCTTATTAGTCCCACAACAGGGAAATTTCACCTCTGTAATTTAACCCATCCATGCAGTGAAACACCACATACACACTAGCGAACACACACACTAGGGGGCAGTGAGCACACTTGCCCGGAGCGGTGGGCAGCCCTATCCGCAGTGCCTAGGGAGCAGTTGGGGGTTAGGTGTCTTGCTCAAGGGCACTTCAGTCACATACTGTCAGCTCAGGGGATCAAACCAGCGACCTTCTGGTCACATGGCTGGTTCCCCAACCTCCAGCCCACGACTGCCCCCAGGTCAGGTTAAACCTTGGAACATGAAGAAGGCCTAAATTTTGTGATTTTAAAGTTGGGACGGGACATATAGATGAAGCTCAGCCAGATACTGAGGAGCCAGACCATGCAAAGCTTTATATGTAATAAGGAGAACCTTGTACTGAACACGGAATGTAATGAGCAACGAGTGAAGACTCTAAAGGACAGGGGTGATGTGGTCAGTCTTCTCAGAGTGGGTTCTGTACACACTGTAACTTACTGAGGGCTTTGAATGGGAGGCCAGAGGGGAGAACATTACAGTAGTGTAACCGTGAGGTCACTAATGCATGCTCAAGTGTTTCGACACTTGGCTGAGGGACGGCTGGAGACGAGCAATATTACGAGGATGCAGTCTAAACTACAGAAATGATAAATGCATCCCATCAATGCTGACGCCAAAGACAGATCAACTAGATATCAGTGCCTTTGAGCCGAATAAAAGCAGCTGAGGTTTGCAAGCCTTCCGTTTTAAGTTCATACTTATCCATGACTTTACTAATCAGGTTTCTTTGTAGAAGAAAACAATATCACACATGTAAGCATGTGTGCCAGTAGTAGTGACACTGCGAGCTACGGCATAAAGCCGGAGGCAACAGCCAAACTGATGAGTGGTAGCGAGAGAATTGATTGATTGATTGATTGGTCACTCACCTTCTCACAGTCACACGTTTCGCAGAGCACTCTGGTATCAATTTCGAAGGCGGAGCTGAATGTGGTGGGTTTGACCCTCATCACCCCCTGACGATCGCTCTCGGGCTGGCTGCACACGTGCTTCTCGTTGAACTCGGTCTTAGCGCTCACAACCACCGTGACGTTCCCCTACAGGACATTCACAGAAAAACATCGCAAACATGTTTTACACTGTACTGTCAAATCAATCACATCCACATCCACAGCCTCATGAATGCTGTAATAAATCAGTTTACCTGAGTACATCATGGGTAACATCAGTAACAATAGTAATAACAACAACAAAAATAACTGGAAAATGCTTTTCCTGAGGAAAAGGCAGAGTGACTGCATAGCTTATTTTCACATGAAAGATGGTTTAAACATATTTTTAAACTCCATTCATGGTGGAGGGATACATGCAGGGCGCTGTGAGGCAAAATAGTCCCCAAAGAAAACTTATTATTTCAGATTTTCCACTATTTTCCATCATCAACATTCCATATAAACTCAGAAGACTCGTGTAGGTTCACTGGTGGTTCTGGACAGTAAATAAAATGTCTATATCTGTGTTGTAGTCATGGCGACCCCTTGGTTCCTATCACCACCACTGTAAAGAGATCTGAACCATTTCACACCAAACCGCTCTGAATCTCTCTGTTTACGTCTCAACCACTATGAATCGTACTAATGTAAAGCTGTGAAGACTCACTATTTGTCCAGGCTGGATCTTCAGGTCTGCTCCTCCTCCGGCGGCTGAGAGGATCTGAGTGTTGATGGCTTTGGGTCTGTTCTCTGTTTGGATGCTGATCTTTGAGCGGATACTCTGCGAGAAACACGAACAGCAAAACCCTTCAGTTTGTCACCAAGTGATAACAAATGTTTGTGGGCATTAAAAGGGGACATATGTTTGTGGTCGAATGCAATCAGATCCTCACATCAATGTTCCAACATCTACTGTAAAGCCTTCCAGAAGAGTAGAGGCTGTTACTGCAGTGCAAACTCACCATTAATACCAGAAGAAACGCTGGAGTCTGCAGACTATCGGACATACAGTCGTGTGCAAAAATGTTTGGACAGGCCACATTTTGTGCTACATTGGTACCCAATTTAGTAAATAAACAGTAAGTGTGTATTAAAGTGTACAGAAGTGTGTCTCTGTAGAGGATGTGTAACTTATTTACACTCAATCAACAAAAAACAAGGAATTTGACCAGGGCGCACAAACTTACGCATACGACTAAAGCATAAGAAAATAGCCACAGAAATTGTTCTGACTGGTTTAAAGTGACGACATTTCGTATAACTATACGTTGGATGAACTTTGAACAGTACACATTTGAATATTTTTGATCACATCTAATTTTCATACTTTTATTCACAGTCAAATTTGGATTTTCTATCGTTTCCTTCAGAAGCAGTTCAATTTAATGATAAATAACATTATTCAAAACTTACTTTAAGCTACACTTTTTTACTGAATTGTGCTCAGGCAAGCTCAGAGAGGACACTTAACATTTCACATCGGACGATTTTATCACTGTGAAATCAACGATGTCGACTTGACCAAGAACGTTAGCTCAGCTTTGAGATGGTGATTTGCAACTTTGGGGCTTCTTATCTGCAGGTCCGGCACTAAAGTCCAGACTCAGAGCTCCAAACACAAAGGAGAGAGCTGGAATGAATGCAGATACTTACAAGAAGCTATTCAGTGCCACCATGTGGCCAAATTATATAATTCAAACAAAATTTTGAATTAGCAAGCAGGATATTCAACAACCAGGAAACTTAGAAATGTCTGTATGATAATGATGTAACACTCAAACACAGAGTGCTGTATTAAACATCCAGGAAGGTTTGAATAAAAATATGATAAGACATGACTTAAAATCACTGATCTCATCTGAGAACTGTCTGGGCGTGGCTTAATATTCTAATGAGCAGTGATTGAAGAAGATTCTCATTCTGCTGGATCTGTATCCGGAGTGACCGGCTGACCGAATGAACGAGTGAATGAATGGACGTTCTAGCTGGATGAACTTTCTCTCAGTGAGTTTCTCAGACTTTGAAGAGGAACACAGTTCTGTTAAAGCCGTGTGGGCGGGACAAACCACATCAGCCTTGTGATTGGTGCGGGGACTGCTTACATACACACTACCCAAGATAAGGACCTCCTGTTTCACACCGAGAGAGGAGAATGTTGGCAAAATACATCAGCTGTTGATCAGTCATTGGAAAGTTATTCACAGGTCAGACCTGTGTATGGTGCACAAACATCAGCAAGGCTAACCTATTTAAGGTGAAGACACGGCTCTCCTGGGCTTTAATTAAGACTTTTCGGCAACATCATCCAACCTCAGGGTGCTGTCCACTCTCACAGTTCTAAACTCACCTCGAACGCAGTCTTTATGATGTGTAGGATGTTGGACGAGTCGTCGGTCAGCACTCCCAGCTCAGCGATGGGGAAGTAATGAACCAGTTTCTGTACATTCACAACACAAACAACAGCATCAGTACCATCCAGAGGCCTGTATTATTATTATTATTATTATTATTTTTATTATTATTATTAGGCAGAAGACTGTTGTTATTCCTCACCTCGTAGTAGGACAGCGAGTGGTTGGTGATGGCGAAGATGGGGATGATGTTGTGCTTCATGAGGATGCGCACCAGCGTGGGCACGGACGGGTAGTCCTGCTTCGTGGCGTGGGTGTAACTGCCCGTGGTGTTAAGGTGACACGCCTCGTCGTTACGGTTCAGGACACCCGCCAAAACGTTCACACCGTCCGCCTCGTAGTGGAAGGCCGACTCAGTGGAGAAGACCAGCAGATGCGTGCTGTCCTTCCTCCAGCCAATCTGAGACTGCACCGGGACAGTGTGTTAATATCTTAATAAAGCCTACAATTATATATATAATAATATATATAATAAAGCCTACAATTGTGCTGCATTATTTTTCCATGAAGTGCATTATAACATGTTTTTGTGGTTTTATGCATCAAAACAGTCTTTTTTCTCCCTCAGAATCAACACGCTGCTTTTGTTACTGTGTCTTAGCACATTATTTAAAACCGTTAATCTGGACAGTAAGGTGGGTTTTGTGCATGTATGATCACCACATCTCTGGAATAAATGCAAACAAATGTAGGTTCAGTTCAAATCAGGGTTGGGAGAGCTACAGAAAAATCAGTAGTTAGCTACTTTGTAGCTACTTTCCCAAAATTTGTAGCTGCTACAATTTAGCTACTTTTACAGAAAAAGTAGTGGCTACTTTTTAGTTACTTTTTAGCTACTTTTTAGTTACTTTTTAGCTACTTTTTGAAAAGTAAAGCAGAGCAAAGTGAGTCTTGTTTTCGTGTATATTATATTTTAGTCTATACTGGCACATCAGCACACACTGAGGCAGATTTACAGCCAAGATGGTAAACCGGACATAAACTGTTGTGGCTCCTGAGGTGGTTTCATTTTTGTTGAAAGGTCAAAATGGCTCTTTTGGTTGCGACCCCTGAGTTAAGCCTACCAGTACAGGGTGGTCAGCGCGTGACCGTTTGCTCGACCTGTCCGCGGCTCAGTCAGTTGCCGGCCGCGTTCTGTGGTTCACATTTTGCGCAGATTGTCTGAAGCCTGTAGTGAAACTGTAGTGAAAATTATCACCATAGCTACACAAACATCTGTAGGCGCTACAGCTGTTAGCTACATTTCATACATCTGTAGCGGCTCCAGCTACTAACATTTGTAGTTAGCTACAAAAAGTAGCGCGCTACTTAGCCACTCCCCCATCCCTGATTAAACGTAACAAGAATTTCTTATTTCCTATTTGAAAAATTAGTTCATATCCTGTGGGCGAGTCTGAAGAACTCTTTAATGAAGAATTGACCAGCCAGTCAGAAGAGATTTGGAAAACAAGCACATAAAATTGCTACTTATTATTGTCATTTTGCCCAGTGCCTAAAAGTTTTCCACAGAACCATATGTAAATGAGCTCTTTTCGCATTGGCCAGATCAGTCAGAAGGCAGTCCAGGCTGAAATGAATGAAACCAAATTTTACTGTTCAGTATGAAATTGAAAGGGCGACTCTACTGCAGGTCCAACCTGGCTGATCTGTTTCAAATTCAAATTTAAGCGACAGTTCAGAGAAAAATCTAATTTAACCTCCTGCTTCACTGCAAACGTAGTCGGCAGATCAGGTACGTCATTTTTGGCGTTTTTAGTTTTGAGGCTAACAAGTAATGCAAGCTTATTAGCACTAGAAAATTAGCGTGGTGCTAACAGTGTGCCTCAGAGCGTGTTCAGGTGTTCAGCATCTCTAATAGACCTCATTTTGTGGTTTCTGATACTGTTCGTGTTAGAAATACCAGCACAGACTACGTAGGAAATGTAATGTAATTGCTTTATTACAATTACAGCTTTTTAGTGTAGGGTATTCCAGGTGGTTGCTAGGGAATTGCTATACTGTCTCTATGTTATATTTTTGTTGTGGTTGCTGGGCTGTGGTTTCTGTGGCATCCAAGAGGTGATTTCCATGGTCTTTCAGGTGGTTGTTAGGGTGTTGCTGTAGTTCAAATGACAGATCTTTTTTACAGTGTTGTTGTCGTTGTTGTTTACCCAGCTCATCAGCATGTGTTTTGGAGGCCGACATGCTGGTCAACCAGCATGACCACTGTGGGTGACCAGGTAAACCAGCACCTGACCAAACAGCGCAAACCAGCTTAGACCAGCTACAACATTGGACTGAAGGCTACATCGTCACTGTGAGCTGCAACAATCAGCGATCGGTTCTTGCGATCGGCTGTTCACAGCTCTTTAGAACGACTTCATTCATTTTCACTGTTTTACTGTATCATTTTATATTGTTTATATATGATTTAGTGATCGTTCTACTTTATTTAGGCTGTTTATCCATCTGCAGAATTTCTCTTCATACATGCTTCGTCCCGCACCCACCTGCAGGGGGCTGGGTCCCCCCCCCCCGCACAACACTGAAAATTAGTCTTGCACCACAAGATCTTGTGGTGGGAGTGCAGACCTCCACTGCCCCCTATCTTCTGTGGAAAGTGGCTCAGTTTTGTCCAAAAAGTCGCCAGATTTGTCGTAGGTGCATTTTGGAAAAAACGTCACTAAAGTGGTCTGAAAAGTCGCTAAGTGTGTGGATCGAGAGGTTTTTTGTAACTTTTTTTCTGATTTGTAAATATTCCAGATTATTATTCACACATCGATTTTGACCAAGAGCTGCTGGACCACTCTTCTCCTGTTAGATATCTTGTTTATCTCTTGTAGATCCCCAGGAGCAGCGTGAGTGGGAGGGGTGGGTTGGATGGATTATGGCTGAAGCGTTGAAACATACTTTTTTAAAGTTATACTTGTATAATGCAGCTTGTTTGTTTTGTGCTTCACAAAATGCAGAATAAAGATTTGGAAAAAAAATAAAGGGACAAAGTCGGTAAGTTGGCAACAAGAGAGGACCAGCAAAAGGGGGGTTTCTGATAAAGTGGCCAGGTATTGTTTTTTGCACATTTCTAGCATGACCCTTACTTGACACACGGCTGCCTGTAAGATGGCGTCGAAGCCGCCCTCCGGAGCATCCAGGTTGCCAGATATCTTCTCTTTCTGCAGGATCTGTCTGAAGGTGCTGATGTTGCTGGTGAGGGTGATGACGTGCTGGAAGGAAAACGGAGGCTCGCTGTTGGGCCACGGCTGAGCCAGTCTGGCAGGGCGAGAGAGGAAAGTGCATCTGTTATCTGTTCTGACAGTGACAGTGTTTGTGGTCCGTTTTGGAGAAACATTCATAAACACTCATAACTCAGTGTCAATAATACAGATCATGGATGTGTCACATGTAACTCAACATGGAGACGATACAGCACGATATAGTACAACCTGTAATTTTCATAACCTATATGAACGCAAACAGCAGGGGGCGCTCTGACCAGTATCTTTACCTATATCTAATGTTCCTGTGCTCTTTTCTAGTGCGGTTCTGCGCTCGTCCTCACAGTAACTGAGATCTTCCTCGTCTCCTCTTCTGTAGAGTCTCTGTTCTAGTGCGGTTCTGCGCTCTTCCTCACAGTAACTGAGATCTTCCTCGTCTCCTCTTCTGTAGAGTCTCTGTTCTAGTGCGGTTCTGCGCTCTTCCTCACAGTAACTGAGATCTTCCTCGTCTCCTCTTCTGTAGAGTCTCTGTTCTAGTGCGGTTCTGCGCTCTTCCTCACAGTAACTGAGATCTTCCTCGTCTCCTCTTCTGTCTTCAGTGTGAGAAATGAGGAACAGTCACTCTTCACTCCAAACTCTTGGGAAACTGGGCGAGTTTTCAGATTTACAGATCTGCTGCAGCTCATTGTAAAGTTTTTCAGAGGAATCCAGGCAGAGTTACAGTTTCTAGACTATGAAGGACCAACTGGGTGAACCGGTCTGCTACAGCGCCACCCTGAGGCAGAGCAGAGCTGCAGCTCTAGTTAGTTAAGAACTCCAGAGACGGAAGCTGATTGTGGGGGAAGCAGATAAACAATCAGCTTCACTAATGGACAGAATAACGTCATCATTTTCAGTGACCCTCAGGTTGATTTTGAGACATTCCTTTAGGTTATTTAGGGGGTCCTGGAACCCCCATGCTGTGCTGGATGCCGGCCCCTCCAGGCCTGGAATAGAGGAGTGATGATGTGCTGTTTGCCTTGTTTTGGCGGTACTGCAACTAAATGTAATAATGGCAATAAACCCGATTAACCTATTAAAATAAATCACAGACACTCACTTTGTCGGCCTCATGTCCGTCTGTGGTTCGATCACTTTGTCGACGAATTTGCCGAATCCGATGGTGTAGTCGTCTGAGAGCGTCCCGACCAGCTGGGCTGCGAAAGCAAACAGTGATGCAGTACTGAATGTGATTGCACAGCTTAAGCAGTTCCTGAGCTGTGTTCCTACAGTAGGGTGTTCCAGGTGGTTGCTAAGACGTTGTTGTGGTGTTCCAGGTTGTTGTTTTTACGGTGTTGCTACACTGTAAAAAACGTCTGATGTTACATTAACAAAAGAATAATATGTGTTTTACGTTTATAAACGTACTACTTTAAGTTCAGTGAGCTCAACTTAACTCAAGTTAACTCGGTTACTTACTTTTTTAGGATTAAAAGCTACATGGCTTTTACGGTGCAGGTGGTTGCTAGGGTGCTGATAAGCGGTTGTTATGGTGTTACAGGTGACTGCTAAGGTACTGCTACACTGTAAAAAGTGGCTCGTCAGATCTACTTTTTTTTAGGTTGATCTGATGAGACGTTTTTTACAGTGTACACTGTCTAAAAAGATGTAACTAAGTTAAAAAAGTTACTAAGCTGCCTTAAATTTTTGATTTAAGTGAACTTCTAATAGCAAGTTAACAAAACAAGAGTCTTTGTCATATGCTGAAGTTCAGTTAAGTCAAAGTTTTAGTGCAGTTTGCTAACGTATTTAAGTTAACACCATTTTTTTAACGTATGGTGCTAGACAGTTGCTACGTCTTATTGGTATTGGTAAGCAGATTTTATGGCATTCAGGATGGTTGCTAAGTTGTTATGAGGTGGTTTCCGTAGCGTTTCAGGTGGTTGCTAGGGTGCTGCTGTAGTTAAAACAGCAGATCTTTTTCAGAGTGTTGCTGTTGCCGTTATTTACCCAGCTCGTCTCCCATCCTCTTCAGGTTGTCCAGATCGTCAGACATGGAGTTGGAGAAGTCCATGAGGATGTAGAGGTCGAGCGGTCCGCGGCCCGGCTCAAACACCTCCATCACAACCTGCTTCTCCTCTCCCGGCAACAGGGTCATCATCATCCTCTGAGGGGCGACCTGAGCAGAATTCCGGCTGGTGTCGATCCGTAGATTCTGAAGGAGAAAAAGACAGACAGAGGATTAATATCAGTGCTGTGAGTATAAAACATTAGTCTGTGTTCTGTTTTAATTATTAGTTTAATCATGCTTTAATTTTATATGAATGATTTCTGACTTGTATTTCATTAAAATAACTGGAGAAACAGTTTGGAAAGTGCAGATTCTAATCTTTCAATCCGAACCACAACTGTGTTTACAAATTTAGTACTATTTGAATTTGAATGAAAGTTTTGACATGTAAACAGAATGTAATTATGCAATTATATCTACATAACTGTATGATACATCGTCAGAGCAACACAGAGATTTTTCAAATTTTTCAAAGCGGGTCAGAGTGGTTCAGAGGGGTTCAGAGTGGTTTGGTGTGAAACGCTCTGTTCTAGATAAACTTACCGAGTCAGAACTGTTCACAGCGGTGGTGACAGGAACCAGACGTCCACCTCTAAAAGCTCCCTCACAGAAAGTTCCTACATGAAATGGTTATGAATTCACTGCCTGATGACTGAGACACTGTTTTATGATAGTTTAGAGAACTGAAACTCCATTCATGGTGGAGGGATACATGCAGGGCGCTGTGAGGCAAAATAGTCCCCAAAGAAAACTTATTATTTCAGATGTTCCACTATTTTCCATCATCAACATTCCATATAGACTCAGAAGACTCGTGTAGGTTCACTGGTGGTTCTGGATAGTAAATAAAATGTCTATAGTTGTGTTGTAGTCATGGCGACCCCTGGTTCCTATCACCACCACTGTAAAGACATCTGAAGCATTTCACACCAAACCACTCTGAATCACTCTGTTTACGTATCAACCACTATGAATTCGGAAAATTGGTGGAATTCTCCTTCGAATAGCAGCGCAAAACATCAGTAACACCTCAAGACTTCTAGGTGGTAAAGTAGGACAGACGTTAGAACAGCAGCAGAAAAGTCCTCACCTGCTGCATGGACATTTCGCTCTTCACAGAGACCACCTGAAGGCAGCCGTGGGACTGCAGGTTCCTCAGCAGGTCACAGCGATCAAACGGAAACACCTGGTTTAACAACAAACTTCACTCAGTAACACTGCAGTTAAAGTGCCTTTAGTCTTCAGTCGCCATACAGTGGTAGATGTTTCTAATAAAGTGGCCAGTTAGTGGAAGCACAATGTGGGTGTTTCTAATAAAGTGGCCAGTTAGTGGAAGCACAATGTGGGTGTTTCTAATAAAGTGGCCAGTTAGTGGAAGCACAAAGTGGGTGTTTCTAATAAAGTGGCCAGTTAGTGGAAGCACAATGTGGGTGTTTCTAATAAAGTGGCCAGTGGGTGTAGTAATTTAAATATGGATAGGAGCCTGTCCAGGTGGTGTGTGTACCCCAGGTATGCTCACCTCATCTGGACAGTAGGCACATCCTGGTCCAGCCTGTAGGCAGGCAGAGCAGCTAGTTGCTCTGCTCGCCAAACAGTGGTTTCCTGGGAACAAAGTGAGACCAGTCAAGTCCTAGTCATGCCCCGCCCACAAATGTGTTCTTACATCACTGCTGTTGTGAAGTTAGACAAGAAACTGAAGCACATTGTGTTTTGGATTTCTATACAGTGTTTTACAGGCACAAAGAAAACGACAACCACAATCTTTATAAATAAACTGAGTCTGTTCTACAGTTTCTCATTAGGCTGAATGAATAACTGACTCTAAATGTAGGTATTGTGATATAAACTGACTCTGTTCTACAGTTTCTCATTAGGCTGAATGAATAACTGACTCTAAATGTAGGTATTGTGATATAAACTGAGTCTGTTCTACAGTTTCTCGTTGGGCTGAATGAATAACTGACTCTAAATGTAGGTATTGTGATATAAACTGAGTCTGTTCTACAGTTTCTCATTAGGCTGAATGAATAACCGACTCTAAATGTAGGTATTGTGATATAAACTGAGTCTGTTCTACAGTTTCTCATTAGGCTGAATGAATAACTGACTCTAAATGTAGGTATTGTGATATAAACTGAGTCTGTTCTACAGTTTCTCATTAGGCTGAATGAATAACCGACTCTAAATGTAGGTATTGTGATATAAACTGAGTCTGTTCTACAGTTTCTCATTAGGTTGAATGAATAACTGACTCTAAATGTAGGTATTGTGATATAAACTGAGTCTGTTCTACAGTTTCTCATTAGGCTGAATGAATAACTGACTCTAAATGTAGGTATTGTGATATAAACTGAGTCTGTTCTACAGTTTCTCATTAGGCTGAATGAGTAACC